ATCAATGAAACTTAACAATCCCTACAACCCCTTACTGAAAATTTTTACTTAGTTGTTAATAAAATACGAAATATCCTTCACTGATTTTTTAATCTTCTGAGAAACTCTATTGAGCGCTGTAGCCAATCTGGTTTGTGATTATAATTAAGTTATTACCATTATAAATTATATGCACTGTGTGTTTTTAGAAATATCTGAGTTTATATTGTTACTATCATATTGTTCTTGATCTGATTACATCATATTCTCTAATTAATTTAGATTTTTGTTTTCATTATTTTATTATCACATTCCATTTTATTAGCCTTGCAACATTTTCAAATTGTCGATCTAATTGTTATTTAACCACCAATTAGCTTAATTGCATGATAGTCACATTGTATCTCAAATTAACTGCATCTAGAAATATGAATCAATGATCTGAAAACGACTTGGTCACTGTGTAATCTGGTGATTGTGAGCTCGATTCTTTCGAAGAGGTCTCGAGTACGTACTTAGACTGAGTCCCAAAATGAGACTAAATAGTTATCAATTATGTTTTTACCTTTTATCTCACTACTTATAAGTAAGCACTCAGTAACGGTTGACTATTTTGATAAAATATATTATGACTGTATGATATGAATAATCTGACATTACCCAATACTTTTTTATCAAGGTAATACACCTATTTATAGAGATGAAAACTTCTCAAATCATCTACACTAAAACTTAAAACCAATCAGTGAAAAAATTACTCATTGTCCAACTGTTTAAGGAAAGCAACCATAACTAATCATTTAGATTTAAACATAATTGAGTTTCTCATTGCCTCTTTACAAAAAATAGTGACCAAACTTTAACTGATTCAGAGAATTTCGATCGTCCTGAATAAATTGATTGGCTCTGAAAACCATTGTATATCATAACATAATCAGATGTGGTTTATTAAATACAACGTACTCTGGATCTGACTGATTTATAAGGAATTTTGGTAACTAGTTTTAACAGTCTGAAAGTTGTTCCACTTATCTTTCAGTTTATTATCATAAAGAATAACATTTATCGTCAACATTCAGTTTAGTGATAAACAATGTCACTAAGTGCATCAACGAACTAACCACATATCGAATCTAGAACCATCAAATTTCTCTAACATAATCCAACTATCAGACCACTGGGTTGTTAACTTATGATTTACTTTTCTAACTTTAGCCAATTCACAATAATGTGTAGTCATAAAATATTGTCATTGGTGGTATTTATCTTACTTTCGATAGGGTTGAAATGATTTTTCATGGCTTCTTATTATAAATCCGAGAATTACCTCTTTATATTGGTTACTAGTGAGCATATATGATAATATTGAACAGTTTCTAGAATCATCTATACGAGATTTTTTCTATGTATGTTGTTTGAGATAAAATGGTTATGAGTCGATAAACAACAAAACGATTACATCACTATTAGTTTTATTCAGTACAGCTTACAAAACCTAGTGACATAAGTAAACAAAGTAAAAAAGAATTAGAAACACATGCTCTATTTCATTTCAACTGACAGAACATGGATAGAGCCGTAGTGTAAATAAGTCAATACCGAGTATTTAATCTTTAGAACCATTTTATTTATTCAATAATGAAGTATTTCCTACAGTAAAAACATGTGATTAAAATTATTTTCAGCATGGAGTTATGGAAATTGTTACGCTTTTGATTGAGATCATGAGTGGATTAATGTTAGACCACCATGGAGAACCTGGAGTTATAGTAAGAAGCCATGACCAGCGGAGTTCATTCCGTATCGGGTAGAAACAGGTATCTACCTCAGATAATGGATGAATGGTTGAGCAGCCATTCATGGATCTATGGAAGTTAGACATGAACCCCGTCGGATGCCGGCTCAGTGGTCTAGAGGTTAGCGTTCTCATGAATGACCGAAGGTTCCGGGGCTGTGGATGAGCATTGCTGATTCCCATATTACGGCAAAACTGCCGTTCAGTACTTCCGGGTTTTCAGTGGTGGTCTAACATTAATCGTCTCATAATGTTATTAAAATTATTTTGACCGGTGAGCTTTAAACCATCATAATAGTTCCAACTTTGATTAACATCTCTGTTAACCGATCACTGTAAAACATTTTCAATCAGTTTAAATTTTAAGACTAAACCTATGTATATTTGATTGAAGTTGATAGAGCTGACTGATTTCTTTATAGACCAAAGGCTGCGTATACACTCTTTTGTGTTACATAGTATGTTAGTAAATGTAGAATTTAGCTTACCGTTTGGTATACAATCATCCACACAATTACAAAGTATACTAGTATGAAGTCTCCTTGCTTTTTTATTCGAACTAAAAATCTTACTTGTCATCATTTATAAGAATGTGTATCTTCTTGTTTTAAACATTTAAGTTTGAATTAAGTCATACTTTGTTGACAAATGAACTATTTGAATGGATACTTTAATACTTGAAGCCTTATAGGTAATTGATTGAAGCTAGGAGTGAGCAACATCGATAAGATTTAGGCAAATCCAGATGACAAGTTCTAAACAAGATGAAATGTTCCACCTGTATTCCATTATTACCCATATTTCAAGTTGTAAATCCATGTAATTTCAAGGCACTTTTTAGAAGAACTCATATAAAATTTAAAACTGGTTATATCTAGTCTTGAATAATATCAATAAGAAAATATAAACTCTTACAACTATTAACAATTTTCATACCCCGATATAACCTTCTGACTATTATGACTCGGCAACCAAATGAATAAACCTCCAGAATATAAAGTGCACAGTGCTAGATTCTAGTCACAGTGTAGACAAGAACGCTGGGAAGCGAGCACCTCCGGCTGAATTTTGATGAATTTTGTGCTGATGATGCCGTTCAGAAGAACGACAAAAGCTCTACGACCAAACCATCCAGCTCAAAAAAACAAAACTACATCAAAATTATCCACCTGAACTACAAATCTTCTCTACCATCTCCCATTCAGCTGAAGAGTTTTTATTTAGAACAAAATGTGATCATTGACTTCGTTTGTTAATTACAATTCAAATATAATATTTGTTTTCATTCAGCTCCTTACTATAATTCTAAATTATTAGAATCTTTTACATTTGACAATCTAACATCTACCATATATTTTACAATCGATTTGTTAACATGATATTTTTCAGTTGTTTGCTAGTACGAATTTCTTAAATCAATCCTTTATGCTTAATATCCTGAAATTAATAATGTCTCTAGTATTAAACCAATAATAATAATGATAATAAGCTGAAGGGGTTAGTGGAGATTTTAGAAATTTCACAGATTGAAATCATGAGTCAATCGAAGCTGGACCATCGGATGCCGGCTCAGTGGTCTGGTGGTCAAGTGCTCGCGCGCGAAGCCAGTAGGTCCTAGGTTCGGATCCCGCAAGGTGCGGGATCGTGGATGCGCACTGCTGAGGAGTCCCATGCTAGAACGAAACGGCTATCCGGTGCTTCCAAGTTTTCCATGGTGGTTTAGCTTCAATTGACTCATGATTTCAATTTGTGAAATAAGCTGATTGTAATTAAAAATGTATATATCCTCTCTTATTTTGTTTCTAATTGTACTATCTTCAAATATTTTAATAAAATCTATTAAATTCTATTAATGTCCAACTAAACAATTAAAGTAATATTCTATCTTATATGTGAAAATTGTATTTGAAATAATCTCAGCGACTGAAATTTAAAATAATTCCAACGTTTCGTCCAGCTAACTTGTCTGGGCTTCTTCAGGATAATAATCGAAATCACATATAATGACTTCGCTTTTTACTAGGCGCCCAATTTCTGTCAAACTATTCGTTGTAATCTTGACGAATAAAATTCTATTTATTTATATTCTATAATTTTATTGGTTTAACATTTATTGTATGATAGAAAATTTCCCTTTCCCCCTCCTCCCTCTCTCTCTCTCTTTTAATTTGTCCATTTCCTTTCAAGTTCATTTTCATTTCATTTTAATGATACACATTATTAAAATTAAAAAAATTTTTTCTAGCTTAATTTAATAAATTACATTGAAATTTCTATACATAATGTAAGTTGATAAACCTTTTTTTTCTTTTCTCTTTATAGAATTCTAATAATATGCCAAGATTTTATATAATTCAATTCATTATAAGATAGTATTTCAATTTAGATTAGATGGTGGTTGGGGGTAGTCTACAGGAAACCCTGGACCCGGGTTTCGTGCTACTTGGCACTCGTCAGCAAGGTGTACCTGTAATCTTGAGGGAACTAGTGCTCCCTGGCAGATTCGATCTCGTGTCACCCAGCTTCACAGACAGAGACGTTACCACTGAGCTATCCGAGCCTCGACCAACCTCCTGTAGGACTGAGATGTAATCATAATTTATTGATCACTGGGTAGCGATCAATGTCATGCGTGTCTAGTCCTTATTATTATTATTATTATTATTATTATTATTATTATTATTATTACATATATATATAGTGCCCGGAATGTCGAGTCACCTAGACTGGTGGCCACATTGCATCATGGTCGATAGCATTCGACCTGCACTAATAATAAGGACTAGACACGCATGACATTGATCACCACCCAGTGATCAATCAGTTGTGAGTATTTCAATTTGGTTTGTTTTTCCTTCAAATTTTAAGAGGGTTTTTTAAAAGTTTGTCTGCGTTTTGAAAAATTTCTTATATGGCCTTATTATATTTGCGATGGCCTGATAATTCACATCCACAAGAAATGTGGCATCTTTGACATGATATTAGTCTTCAATAATTTTTGTTTTATAAGGTATTGTCTTTTCTCATTTGAAATTAAATAGTGTTTTCTGTATTCATCTCTGGCATGTATGGATTATGAAAAAGATTTAGAAAACGTTGTGGTTATTTAAAAAAAACGCACAAAACATTTTTGAAAAAACTTGGTTACGCCGTTCCGAGTAGAGACAGGTATCTACCTCAGTACAACGGTAGATGGTCGCGCAATTTCGTGGATTAATTGACGTTAGACATTAACACCGTTGGATGACGACTCAGTGTTTCAGTAGGTTAAGTGTTCGCGCGCGAGACTGAAGGACTTGGGTTCAAGTCCCGCGAGCGGGATCGTGGATGCGCACTTCTGACGAGTCCCACAATAGGGCGAAACAGCCATCCAGTGCTTTCAGGTTTTCAATGGCGGTCTAACATTAATCGGCTCAAGATCTCAATTCATAACTTAATAATCTCCATAACCCTATACTGATATTTTAAAAAACCCTGTTGAAATGTTAAGAAATCGAGTTGAAATGCTATATTTAATTATAAATTAATATTAATTAAACTTGTAAACATTGCTGTACAGTACAAAATAACTGGAGTATTTTTTTAGAACTAAAATAGTATTTTCTGGTAATGTAACCTTAAAGCTTATAATTGGCTAAACTTAAAACATTCAAATGATGTATGAAATACTTTACTATTGAATTATTATATTAGTATTGAATTGTTTATGTGTTGCAATATAAGCCAGTACACAAAGTCAAGTAATTTGTTGTATAGTTTAATCAAGTTATTTCATTGTGTAATATAGTGAATTGAATGGAACTTAAAATTGGTTAGTATGTGCAATTGAGTAATTTGACTTAAAATGGTCTGGAATGTATTGAAACTCTTTGAGATTTACGGTTTCGTTAGACAGTGATAAATTAGAATGGATATATTATTAAACGACCTTTGAACTTCAATTAGTTATTTAATTGATGTCAGTCTAAGAAATAAACTTGATTTCAAGTTATATTCAGTTATATTTTTTCTCTTCTCTTTTTTTTGCATATCCAATTGTTTTTTATTTTCTATAATCACACCTAAATCAAGAGTTTCAATTTATACTGTGAAAATAACATTAAAAATAATAAACTCAGTCGCCATGTACATGAGTATCAGCCACACTATATGTGAGAACTCTAATAATCTTAACTGGTTACCTAAACCAAAATAGGTTGGATGGTTTAGAGCCTGGAACTCAGTAGCTAAAAGTTGAATGCCGTCACTACTAGACTAGCGCTTCACGAAATAACCCAACAAGCAGGTAGTATTACTATTCCACATACTGGTTAGATTGTCATATACAGGTTCTTGAACAGAATCTACTCATATCATTCCAACAGCCTATTGAGAAAATGTAGTATTTAAGAGATAAAACATAAAGTAGTTTTACTAAATGATTGTACTCATCATTTATTCGTTCCTATGGATAATTACAACCAAGACATTTATTGGTACTAATATCTGAAGTAAGCACTGAGGAAGGACAATGAAAGCTCCATAACTAAACCTAATAGGTCAAATGACTCAATACTATCCAAATCAAATATAAACATGAATACGTGAAAAAATAAACTAAAGTAAAATCCAAACTGTACAAGAATATTAATTAATGAATTACATTAATAAAAGCGAATAAAATGTCGACACTCATCGAGATGTTTTCATTTGAGAATTTAAAATTCAGTATTCTGACTTCTAAAAGTAGAAATTTATAATAATGATTAACATATTCAATATATTTCAATCTTATCCGGGTTAGTATGAATGTTTCGTACGTAAATATTTGAGTTTTCTCGCTGTTAATATTAAGGACTACACTTGGTTAGTCCCTCTTGACCTGAGGGGATTGTTTTGATATGTACATTTAATCACAAGTATTTTAGTCAAGTTGGATAATATCTAACCATCGAATCCAGGACTCATGTTTCATCCTGTTTAGAATTTGTTAGATGGGTAAGGATAAACTCTCTATCTTAGTGGATGACATATTAGCATTTGCAGTATTTGTTTCTTTTTCAAGAAATAATCGACCTCTGTTGATTTACACTGTTGGTAATAGATAAGGTAATGTAGTCCAATAAGCAATGAGTTAGTATAATCTATTTTCTAAAGACATACTTCACATAGTCTTTTATCAGTGCACGTTATCATCTAAAATACTAGTGGAACTCATTTATTTTTTTAAATATAGTGAACATTGAGCATACATACTCAATGTCTTTGAACAACTTTAATTTAAAAGTCTTTGAATTGTCTGAGATTCTTATTGGAACAATTCTATTTTTAAAAAAAATATGATACTCAACAAATTTTGATTTTTCTTCAGAAACGACTTCTTCCATCAAAATGTCTGGAACGGAATCATTAGATTTACAATATCGTAGTTTACAAACACATAAAATGGAACAAATTATTGGTCAAATGAATTCGAAAAAAACTGGAATAACTCACGAGTATATTGATTCTTTATTTTATTTTATTTTAAAATTTATTTCTGTTTAGATTTCAACCAGATCCATATTTACATTATGCTTTCCAAGGTGGTACAATTGTTAGTTGGCTTCAAGAAAATATTCCAACAGATAATGAACAAGAAGCATTGCATATAACTGAACTATTTTTATTTTATGGATATATATTTCGTATCACTGATTCATCACAACCATACTTTAAGTTGAATAAAACTTACTGGTATCGATTTCAGGTTGGTTAAATTGACTATGTTTACGTTATTTTGTCAGTGCCATTCAAAATGGTTTGTGTCCCATCTTGAATTTGATTTTACCCGTACGAAAATTGAGGGTTGTTGTTTTAGGCACTGAAACAACCCAATCTAATAACATACCTTCATAAGTCATAAAATACCCGCTAAAATACATTAGTTAACACTAAGTGATCGATGATCAATAACCAATGTCGTTCGATCTGATTCTTAGTGGTGGTACAGTCCCATGAATCAATTTGTAAGACTGTAGATATGCTTTGTTGATGAGTGCCAGTGAGCACCAAATCTAGGTTTTCGGCATCCTACTGACTCTTTCTATGCTCGTGACATCTGATCTAGTCCAATTAGAAGTCGAGTCAATTAAACTCGTGTAACATGATTGATAGGATTTATTCATCAGTAAGGGCTACATGGCAAAACATTTGTTAGTACTAAGTGGGTAATTAGTGTAAGTAATCCACTTCTACAAGAAGTCAGGTGATGGCTTAATTAGCTAAGTACCAATAGGATGACCCGAAATCAAAATCCCTGAAAATATCAATTCCACCAAGGATAAAATCAGACCGTACTGATGAATTTTTTAAGCAACACGAAACAGTTTCAGATCTTCTAGAAGATTTATTCTAACCAACTAAGATATGTTATTTAGAATTTAAATAGATTTCAACCTCAGATTCACAGAGACGTGCTAAAATCATCTTGCTTACTCACGTAAGCAAGTAAGATGATCACCTTGCTTCCTAGTTAACTTTGATATTTCATAAGAATGTGATAATGATGATGATCTAACCATTGATGATGTATTTACCGGCAGAAATTTGTGTCTAAGACATTAGCCATTCAAAAATTAAACTTCAAAATGATACAAATTCTAACTGACAGTTTAAATTGAGCATAAAGAAGTTGCGAAATCTGGATGAAACAACTTTCAGTCCATTTACAAATGCTTTTGTCCATTTTATGTGAGTAACGTTAATCTATCACAGAAAAGAAATGAAAGCCAGATGATTATTATCTGATAATTTCACCTTTATTCCCTTTCACAATCCCTCTTTCTCCATAGGCTCCATTTTACTGGTTATCCAAAATATCTAAAGTAGATGATATAGATTACTCAATATATCTGATGAAAAAGAATTTGAGAAAAGGTGGCTTCCAAACTACTGACCCTGAAAATCACATATTTACCGAATTATCTAAATCATTAAATCATAAATGGAAAATAATTGAATTACAAGCAGCTGAACAATTGCGTTTAGAACGAAAACGTGATGAAGTTGATCGAAACATACTAAGGTTACAGGTAATTACTAAGTTTACATAGATTTCTAACAGATTGTGTTTATAATTAGGGTGAGGATTTCAATTCAAACTTAATTTATAAGTAGATACTAGTTTTCTTTATTATGAAGAACCATTGAAAACCAATAAACATTAGATAGCTGTTTCGCTTGATTCTGCGACTCATCATTCATCGATTGAAGTTAAAAACATATACCGATGGACACCAATTCCATCATCTAAAGATAACGCACTCGCTATAAAATATGAATGTCTTGAGTTCATTTGGGATTGAAATGACTGGTACATACTTACGAATAGTTCAAAGTTTGAAACATAACAGATATCCAGTGTTCACTGTCTTTCAGTAATGGACTAGCTAGAAACAATTGGTAATGCACAACATTTTCAATAGGTTTTATTGATTGTACTGAGCACTTCATTAATTTACATAAAATATACGTATAAGTTTTTCAGATGTCATACAAAAGATAACATTATCTCGGTACTTAAAAAACAAACTTTTAATCTATAAAACAACAACTTTTAGTCTATTTTGTAGAAACATATATTGGAGTACTTGTTAAATATAAACCAGTAACATTTATCCTGAATTCATTCAGCAAGGTTACCTCTCACTGAAAAGATCTTCCTACTATGTGATAACATTGAAAATAGCTAACTTCATATACTTTCTGAGGAAAACATTTTTTCAATGCACTTGCAACGTCCAATTCGAATTTAGGTTAGGGATCAACGAAGTCACTAGCTGGCCCACTTTTAAGTGATTATTTCATTGCTAATCTTGAAAAGATTATAATTAGACCAACAATAAATAGTTCTTACCAATACAAGGGATATTTATGACAAAAATATCTATTTTAATGACTTCCTTGAGAAGTTCAGCAGCTATTATCAATCAACAAAGTTTGCAAACGAATCAGAGCTGGAATCGGAGTTCCACATCTGAAATATTTTGTAAAAAAATACCCGATATTTTTCTCTGCAAAGATTGATGTATAGAAAGCCGATCTGTAATTTTTCAAAGTTGTGTCATAATGAAAGTAAACAGAAACCTGATCCACTCTCTATGCGCAAGGGCTAGATGTGTCTGTACCGATTATACAACTGACATCAAACTCGGTAAACTATCACAGATATGGATCAACAGTGGTTATCTACATAGATTTTTTATGAAACATTTGAAACCAAAATAACGTGAAAGAGTGTTTATAGCACCCAAGAAGACCCACCTTATAAATATCTAGTTTAAAGATGTTGAGGCAGAAATTTGAGATGTCCAAGAAAAGTGTTTTATTGGGATGAACTTATTGTTGTGTCATCTAATGAGCCTTCGGTTCATAGTTGCGTGGAGGACTAGCTCCTAATTTGTATCAAATCATTGTGAATCCATCAGTTTACTTTCCCATATAGAGAAGGCTATAATGACCGCACAAAGTGAGCCATTTCAAAGCTCATTTCCGAATATTGCCCTGCTTGGCTATCTGAAAGACTACAAACGTCAGTTAAAAACTCAACCCTGAAGAACCTGGTCACCTAGCTTCACCAAAATCATTCATAGGCTTAAAATTATTCGTTAAAAAAGGATTAAAAGTTAAAACCTCATGTGCACTAGAGGTTCTCGATATCTACCACTTCAAATCCAACCTTTATGAGCAAAGACAATACATCCAATCCCTAATCCTACCATTGTCTTAAATTTCCTTTTTAACTTTCATAACTAATCGTTTTCTTCCACTCATTTATTTTCTTCGCCAAACTGTCTTTAATCTTCTCCAAATTTTCAGTAGTCTAAATAGAACAGAATCTACTATTTACATGTGTGTATATCCTAAGCAGAGAATTTTCTTAAATTATTCTCATTTTGGGATTCAGTCATATCTAATCTATAAATACTACCCAGAAGTAATTTATGTTCACACTGAATGAGAGCTCTGTTATATAAACCTTATTCATATAAAGTCTACCATTTCTTATATCGCTCAATGTTATTTGGCTTAAGTAAAACAACAAACAAATGAGATTCGCACTCTGCGAAAGAATCATATGCTCTAACAAAATTCGGGAATCGTCACAGGTGAGTATAGAAAATTGGACTTTGAAAGTGGAATAGTCGAATCCTTCAAATAATCTGAAAAGCTTTGAAATGTCAAACAAACGTCTCAGTCACTACAACTTCTCATACCTTACATTTTTGCTGTAGTTGAACATGATTTTCTCTTTTGAATAGTTGATATTAACATATGCTAACTTTCCGTTCTGTTTAAATAGATATTGTAAATTTATTTATGTAGATCATTTGTTCTTCTGGTCAGTCTTCTTTGACAACTCTCTAAAAAATATATTCTAGGCATCATTTAACACGACCTTCGAAACTAGGGAAAAATAAATAAAAGAAAGGATATGTTTTATACGAGTATCCTTTCTATTTTTAAAAAAATGCTAAAAGTACTCATCCACATTACCAAGAAATTATTTTGTTCATCATATAATAATAAATCCCTTTAAACTCAAACAATAAATTTGAATGTGAGAATTAATCAATTATTATAATTAATGTACTATAAATAATAATGGGATTTTAATGTTACGGTTTACACCAGAGGCTGGATTTAGTTAGACAACCATTTAAAACTAGGATAGATTGGATGTACGCTTCGTCCAAATATGGAACTTCACAGCAGTGGCTTCAGTCAGGCGCTCATCACGAAACCCCAAGATCCTGGGTTTCATTTTCATTGTGATTCTTGATTTGCACTGAAGGTGAAGAATCACATGTATTAACAAAGTAACTTCTCAGGACTTGCTATTTTCTAATTTTCGTCGAACTATAGTCAGAAATTCAGCATTCTATACAACACTATCTATACATTAGGGACTTCAACAAGTGTCTGAATCGGTAAACTCTTCCCAATTTAGGTTGTATTCATCAGAGATCGATCTAAGTTAGGGCTTCTTTAAAAATCAGAGAGCACTTGACAGTTGTTTCTTTCAAGTGTGGGATTCATCGGCAATACCTATTCATACTCACGTCAGACTTCTCTTTTCCCTTCTTTGTTTACCTAATTTCTTTTTTTTTCTTTTTTAAAAGGAAGAAGCATTTTGGAAAGTATATCGCCCAATGGGAAAAGTAAAATATAGATTAACTGATGCGTTGCCAAGAAATTTTACATTGAAACAAATTCAAGTACGTAGAGAGCAAATGAGAAATAAAATGTTAGAAGAGAAAAAACAATTAGAGGGTAGGATGATTGTTCATTTTTTCCCGGCCTATTCCTCATTTTTATTCGTTTTACTGTTATTTCTAATAAATTGGCTGAAGTTGGGCATTAACACCGTCGGACGCCGTCTCAGTGGCCTAGAGGTTAAGTGTTCAAATCTCTCGGAGCGGGGTCGTGAATGTGCACTACTGAGTAGTCCGACGCTTAGAAGAAACGGCTGTCCAGTGCTTCCAGGTTTCCCATGATGGTCTAGCTTCAATTGACTCATGAATTCAACTAGAAAACTTAGTAAATTTACTTGATGTAAGAGTACGAAATATGTAAGAACTAGATTTAAATGATATAAAGAATAGTAGAAATTTCACAGCAACCAACTCAATGATCTGATTTTTGAAAAATCAACATAAACTACAGGACTATAAAATATCAGAGAGTTTTATGCAGACTAGTATGCTAAATAAATGACTCTCTTGCAAAATTGAACTTATACTATTCTAGTGAAATGCTATGGCCAGTGAAGTACAACCGTGAAACAAGTATCATTGATGCTGTTGAATAATTTTTATGATATGTCATTAATCTAACAGAGTTTGGGACAGGAATCTTTAAGTGCAAACTGATTGCTTTAAAGTCACCATACTCTCTACAATAACTGGATTTCTTTGGTTACATTACCCGTCAGAGGGCAAGTGGGTTACATTAAATAGTCATCGACCACAACAAATTAGATATTTCTTGACGAGTATAATCGTGTTAGACCAATTAATACGTTTATGCTTTAATTAATTCGTGACAGCAATTATTAGTGATAGCATTTATTATACAATTCCATTATTGTCAGTGACTTCACTATTGGTATGACTGATCTGCACTGATCGCAACATCTTTCAAGAATTTAGATTGTTTAACTAAGAAGCTAGTCTCCTATTGATTACTCTAGGGTAAGGTAGTAACCGAGTTCTCTCAGACACTCCATGGATTATCATATTTCGTGATGTTAACTATATTTGAACTTAGCAAATCATCAGTCTATATAACTGTAGTATTAAAAAGTTATCTGACTTCATTATAAACAGAATACATCAAGTGGGAGATGGATGCTCTAACCAAAAAACTTCTGGATCATAATACTTCCAAATACGACTTTGAATGTGCTGAGTTGATATTTCAAAAGAAATTATTATGAAATAATTTAATATTATACACAAAATTTAGGTTATGGAGATTTTCAGGCAATAGCTATTATTTGTTAATTCTAGTACGAGCATCAGCGTAGATTAAAATGAGATGAACTGATAATTCCTAAACAAAATGAACCTGTTATCCTGAACTTTATCATTGGCAATCATCAAAGTTACTGTAGGGCTTCGAGGGGATTTATGAATTTTTAATAAACGTAACAGACTTATCTTCGTTAAGCAACGATTGAAGACCATGTGGCGATGAATATATTATTTTCTTCAGTAACGCTCATCCATGACCCCACATAGGATCGGATCCAAAATGAATTGACTGAAGAGAAACATGTAAACCATTGGTCATCAGCTCAGCCTTTCTGAGGCTAGGCACTGGAAACAAGGGCTTGGGTTCGACCCCAGGTGGAATCGTTGATGCCTGCTGCTGAGGACTTCCATACAGCTATACAGTCCTCCCTACTTTTCAATGGTTATTCAACTAAGATCAGATGATGAAGTTAACTATAAGATTATGAGAGTATTTGGTTTGATTGTTTTATTAAACAATATGATTGTAATTTATTTAAATGTTATATATGATCAGGACAAGATGTCAATTCAATAGTTCCAGAATTACAAACAGATCCACTTTTATCTTCACATCGAGGTGATAAAAAATCAATAGAATTAATCATACTTTATGCCACAAATCATGTGAATTATGACAATCTCATAAATGGTGACTCAATGAAAAATAATTGGTTTGCCTCAGAAAAAGATACAAGTGTATGGGAAGATGACAATACAGTTTGTTCACAGACTGGTGTAACTGGACCTGCACCTTATCCAACATTAAAGCAGGTAAACATTAATTACGTAACAAAAAAACATAGATTGTGATAATGTACAGGATTTTTGGAAAATGTTTCGTTTGAAAAGTTGCTTGATTTTTCACTAAACATTTGTATCCGTACATTATGACATAACCTGTATAAATGTTTTAACTTATTAAACAAGATCACTTTGAAATTTCTATGAAAACAATTGAAAACTATAAAATATCTAACAGATATTTCGTCCCAAGTTACGATTCCTCCTCAGTGGTTCAAATTCATGGTCCTGGATGAAATTGAACCAAAAAGGTTCAAATCTCTTGGTGAACACAATAACCTTAGATCAGTAACATGAAATTTAATGATTTACATCTTTAACTTTAGTTGGTTTTAGTGATATTAACTAGATGTAGATTAAATTTAATCATGACTAAAATTATTATAGTAAAATCACGAATATAAAATGTTTCATCTTAAATGTCAGTCAGTCAGTCAGCTACAACGTAGGATCAGGCACATATATGCATCGATTCAAGTTGCCATACCTCATTAGCACAGCAAGATGAACACCAGATTCATAAAAGTAGTCAATTCAATGGTGTTAATATCATAGAACAAAGATTGCATGTAAGGATATAGTACAGGAAGAAAGAATTAGTGCGTAGAAAGACATGAAGCGATTCATATTAAATAAATGAGGTCATGAGAAGAAAATTATTTTTTATAGTTTGAACTCCAAATAACAATTATATGAGACTTACTCAGTCAAAAATCTAATTCATCGTTTACATCACAAACTGAATTTATTTGGATCATCATTAAAAACCACTAAGTAATGGACAGCTGTTTCATCCTAGTATGGAACTCCTCGGCAGTATACATCTACGGTCGCACGTAGGATCAAACTCAGCCCCTCTAGATTGAGTTATCAAATAATGATTCGCATTTCTAATTTCAATTGACCCACTGTATTGTCTAACCATCATCAACTAATTTTATTTAAGTCATAGTAAACTTGAATTGTAGCTAACAGTAAAGAAGAAAACCCATCGAGAATGCCTGTTTCGTTTTATTTTAAACTTGTCAACTGTTAAATTGATTTTATCATTGAATAATTTGTAATTCAATGGGGTTTGTTTGTTTGTTTTTTTCCCAAATTCATGCACGCATAAACGTTTTTTTCTTTTTATATTCATTCTTCCAAAGGTGTAACCCAGATAACAGATTACATTTTACACTAATTATTCTAGGTGAGGTTAAGTAATTTATTATTTTTCACAAAGCAAACAAACATGCAAATGAAAGTGATTTGCAACATTCAAATAGACAATAATAACATGGAATTAGAATTGATTTACGTGGGGAAAAAAAACAAACAAAAACAGATTGAATCATGAATTCTATTGTTAAAATACTTCAATATGTTTTATGCTTTTAATACTTTTCCCTCAGTAAATATCATTTAAATAAATGGAAATAAGCGTCGAATACATAAATAAAATGCGTGTGTATATTAATAAAAATGTACAATTTTTCAGAAGAAAATTGCAACGCCTAAACTAGTTAAAAATACAACAACAACAACAAAAAAAACTAACAGTAAGAACTAATTACTTCGAATGTATTATATTATATTAAAACGTTTGTGACTTAAGGCTATATCGAGGCAATCCGCACAGGATGCACAGATGCTAACATGAGACTAATCAATTACAGTCCTAAATAACAAATGGGAAGATACAAGTATAACACCACCAAGTGAATGTATAACATTAGTTTGCCAAGTACTCACCTATTATATGTTATTACTTGTGAACCTTTGTGACCTGTTTATTGTATAACGCAACGATACCGCCAATCAGAGAGAAGCGGATTGTCGATCGAACCAGTGACGCATAAAACACGTGCGAGTAGCCTAGAATCCTGATTGGTCCTGATTTCCGCCTAGCCTAGCCAGTTGAGTCCAGAACACAAATCTCAGCTTCTGCAATATGAATCATTTATTTCAAGTATACTGGGTTTATATATCGACCAGACAGACCACATCGTAACATAAAATATGAAACAGCATTTGTACAAGAATTAGCCAAATGTGGCTGTGAATGAGGGAGATCGTAATTAATAGACAGGCTATAACTCAAAAATGGTAAATCGTGTAATATTAGTTCATAGGTCAAAATAAAACTCATAGTAAGAGGGACATGAATATGAACAGTTTAGTTACATAACAATTACACGATAAAAATATACTCGTAGTACTGATCCATAAATGCATCCCAAAAATTACTATTCATTATTCTTATCGGGATATAACGCTATAAAACTCTTACGACTTGACAAATAATATTGATAACATCATCAGTAGCTAAGTTTGAAGAAACTACTACTTCTCAAGTGAAAAAAATTTAACCGTTGAAGTTCAGTTATGTGGAGTGTGGGACGGGTTTTGTAGATGAAAATTAGTGACGGTTGAACAATATTACACAACTGTATAAACTTGACTCAATTTAAGAGTGAATGATGACTATGAATTATGAGTAATAGTACAGTTTGTAATTAACTCCATGATTAGTTACTCAAAGTAGACAGATATGCTCTGCTTGTAATCAATACGTAGACTATTGTTATCTGTAAAAATTGATTCCCTGTAAATTTCTTTTAGGATTTCATGTGGTATGACTATTTATAACTTATATGAATTAACTCTTGTCCTAACCTCTAATCTGGTCCTTAACCGTTAGTCGAAATTGTGGAACTGTATATCCTATGATCTCATCTAGTGGTCTACATACCAAGTGTACTATTTAGTATTGTAATCTAGTATATCAAGTCGTAATATCTAGTATCGCGTGCTGAACACAAAGCAGAGCCTTTTCAATCCCATTACAATCTGAAAGAAGTTAGTTTATGATGATTTTACTGTCATTTAGGCTACATCTTGAGAATAAACAAAAAAACAATGCATGTGCATTTATCAGTTTTATAGACATTGTGTTTAAAAATTCCTGAATAACCAACTTATTGAGAGTTTATGCTAATGCAGTAAGTTAATGCGAGAATCTTGTCGTATTTTATCAAATACTGACTTTAATTATACAACAATTGATAGCCACAAAGCGCTGGATAACTAATTCGTTCTAGTATAAAACCCCTTAAAATACACATGAATAACTTGTTCTAAAGGTGATCCCCTTATCTTTAGACTGAAATGAAAAAAAACTACCCAGTGTTTCTAGATTGTATTGATTGGTTAATTAAGGTCGGTCTATAATGTTAAACTACAAAATTCAATTCAAGATTATGATGTAATTTTTTTTAAATATTTCTATTGACTTCAATCAAAGAAAGCAAGGACTGCTCAACGATAATAGAACTTCATAAATTTTTACGTTACTCAGTTTAGCTTGCTCTGTTGAAAAACTCACTATATTTAAGTCTTGTTGAAGATATACATTTTGTTTAACAATAAAAGTGAATCACTCTACTATAAATCAAATCAACATTGAAATCAACTGGTTATCAATAAGAAAGAAGTAAATTCTATCTATCAACTTATACAAAAGAGATGAATTAATTACCCTAGTCAGAGATTGATTAAAAAAGATAGTCGACAGGAATAAATGAACAAATTAAGACAGAATAACCTACTAAAACAATCAATAATAAACATAAGAGTCAGAACAGACTGACTTAACATTTATAAAATAACTCGAAAGCTTACTTTTACATAAAGTATATTCCGATGTCATTGTTTTAAACGATTATACAAGCTTTACAAACATTAAACTGTCTAAATCAAAATATACAACATCAACCAGAATATTCCCTTGGTATTGTTTGGCTTGTATCTTCCCATTGAAATTTAAGACTGCAACTGAACAGTCTGTTATTAGCATATGTGCATACTGTGCGTATGCCTAGATATTGCCTTAATTCACAAGCTTTTTGTAAGCAATGATGGATTCAGAAGCTGAGTGGATAACGCGATGGCGTTTGAAGCGAATGGTACTTGGTTCAAGTCCCAGAGTGAACATCAACTCTGAGATGCAAGTACATCCAGCTGACGACTCCCAAATAGGATGAAACGCGCGTCCTAGATCCCACTGCTAGCCACTATCCATCATTGCTTACATCAACCAGAATATTTCATTTAAAAAGAACATCTTTATCGATTTACTGTTTAAGTAAGATTGTACAGAATAACGGAAACAATTTATGAAACTGTTTCTTTGTTTTATTTAACTAATCATTAATTCTTTTAAATTTTTATTCTAAGGTACGTTTATGGGGTACAAGTATGAATCATTTAATTCGTGATGAAAATGGACAAAAATGGTTAGAACATTTTATGCAAAAAGAATATAGTTGTGAAAATTTTCGATTTTTACAAGAAGTTATAAAATATAAATTTGGACCATTATCAATGATTGAAAAAGAATCTAAAAGAATTTATGCAGAATATTTAGCTAAAACTGGAGCTAGTGAAATCAATATAGATAATTATATTATGACGGTAACAGAAGAATTATTAAAGGTATATTACTATTTTTCTTGTAATATATATGTAAACTTTAAAAACCATAAATGTGTGTTATGACTTTATGTCCGGCTAGTTATCACGTGATTTATCCACCAATCAAAATACGACTTATACAATCTTAGCACTGTGCCCAACTAATGACGTCCGACCGGTATGAGCAGCCTAGTGTCCTTATTGGTCCTATGTACACCTTGCCCATCCACTTGAGTCCAGAACATCAAATACCAGCTTCCAATATGCGAATCGAATCATTTACTGCAGACATACTGGGTTTATATATCAACCAAACAGACCGCAACGCACCATAAAATAGGAAATAACATTTGTACACAATAAAGCCAAAACGTGGCTGTGAACGTAGGAGGCAGTAGTTAATAAACTGAACAGTAAATCGTACAATAATAAATTATAGGTCGAAATAAAACTTATAATAAGAGGAATATAAATATACATAATCTAATTATTGAATAGTTATACCGTAAGAATGTTCAGATAATATTAGTCAATTGATTTGTCTCCGAAGTTACTCGTGATTTAATCTCCGCACGGATATAACATTGTGTACGACATTATCATAGCAAATTAAAACGAAACAATTGTCTAATTCTTCCAGGTCGTTAATGGTTCTTGATGTGAACTATATAAATTCGAGATAAATTTTCAAGAGTCAATTGTGGTAGAGTTCATTGATATTGAGACTAAGACAATTATTCCTGATAATATTAGATAATTATTATTACAAATCACAAACTCGTTTAAATTAAAATAATAAATTTATGATTTCTATCTAATTCAATAGACTCAAATTTACGCGCTCATTGAAAAATCCCAAAGTTTCAGGTTTACACTTGCTTAGAGTTTGTGTATTGTTCTAAAGCTAATGTTAGCTGGTAATTAAGAACCTGATTACTTCTTTATCCAAATTTGCAGTTTTAATATCCTATTTTATGAATTATATCTATCCCAAATAATCTGTTTTCTGTTCATATATCTGATTCTTTTAGCTTAAATCCTAACTGATTTAATCTAAAATTAGATGGAACTTAGCTCCTATTGTGATATAATGTAAATAGATATATACTCAATACTTAATTGATAGTCATTTAAAATTTCAGTGATTGAACACTATCATTCTTAACATGGTAGACATCTCGATACTTTAAGTTAATAAATCAGGCTAAACCAAGTTACTCAATAACTGTCTTTTATCTACGAAATCCATGCGCTGATAAGCATAAATTTCGTAGCTAATTATTTATGAATGTCATTCATTAAATCTATACAAACACCTATAGTGTGTGTTATAATAATATTATTAATGTTAGTTAACAGACCACAATAAAAACTACCTAGAATGTTCACCTCATTTATAACTTCCTAACAGGATAATATCATTAACAATAAGAAGTAACTTATTGAGATGTTCATTAACAAAAAGACAATATGTTAGGAAACATGAGTCAATTAATTCTATAACAATAAACATTTCATAGTTGATGAATCTGAAATCGAATGAAACACATGTACTTAATTCCACAGTTTATTTTACTTCATTCTAATACAACTGTCCATTGAAAATACTATGCTCTACACAAACTAGATAATATATGATAAAGAAATAAAGAAGTGAAGAGTATAATCAAAAACATAATTATGTAGATGTATAAGAGGAAATACAGTTCAGACAAAAATACAATCAAAAATAAATTTTTTCTAGATAAAAAAAGCTTCCTCTCACTTTATGAAGAACGTAAAAGAAAACTACAATAAGATCATCACTTGTTTTAATATTTAGTCATGTCTCATAATGTTTCAATCCAATGAGTTACATCAATTCAAAGACTTAATTCAGGAAGTTGTGATGGATTGAAAAATATTAATTCTATATAAATTTATTTCGCACCATGAAGCCATGTCAAAGGCTAATAGTCTTTACTCTTTTTCTACCCATTTCAACCATTGAAAAATAATGCATGACATGTAAGTCACTCAAAAGATAATCATAAAACATATCCAATCAACTGAAGCTAGCATTCCAAGATAACAAACAACAAGTGAACTACCAAAGCGTATCTGTACATTGTGATTTCACTGTCAGAAAAAACGCAAATATATTAGTATGTACATTTCAGAAATTTATTAACATGACATTCATTGTTAACATTTCTTACCATTTTGCATTATATGATTACATTCAACTTGTCTTATCTTAAAGAATTCACTTTTTATTTTCCTAAAAAATTGACAGAATCCTAATCCATTTTGTTTTGATTTGGCACAAGAACATATCTACAATCTAGTAAGAACTGATTCATATGCACGTTTCTTACGATCATCTGATTACTTGACATTATTAAATAATGCAATGAAAGCATCATCAACACACCAAACAAAGTAGATCAATCGCTAAAACGATCATAGTGAAGTTTACAACAAATAAATGTACCTATATGAAAAACTTAAACATCCACACACAATTATTGTTCTGTATTACTATAGTTTGTAGTCAATATATGGTTACAACATTTAATTTACTTTATTTTTGTATTAATATTGAAATGAATTTTGCTTGTTCAGGTTCATTAGGTTGTAGATATTTTCCTGGATTAAAAGAGTGAATAAAACTGATTGAATATTTTATAATGCGAAATCGAAAGCATTTGTTTATAACTAGAAATAATACCTTATTATCGTTCTTTCCTTGTTGAGTGTACTACAAAAAGATTAATTCAAAACAACCATAGACAATTTGTAGATTATTACATCTAGACTGAAAACTTGAATGATTTCCATCCTGAACTCATCACAGCATAGGACGAGTTTGAATTACAACAATAGCTTCTAGACTGTTGTTTGCTCCTCAGAAAACAGGTATTGTAAATGAATAACTTACGGTAAAAAAATATAACAAAGCATCTTTCTAAACACTTATAATTACAAAAGCATTTTAGAAGTCCCGAGATTGACCAGTTAGGATAAAGCCTTTAGGAATATGGTTAATTTACGTGCTATATACACTGTCCATAGAAATAATTAAGTACTTGATCCGTTTAACTCCTTTTTAATCTATGACTCGATATTAGGTAGTAGGTCACCCGACTCTATCTGAAATTCAAAAGTCTATAGTCAGTCTGAAACGAAGAAGAGCAGCTGGTCCAGATGAATTGGCTCCAGAGATCTTTGAGGATGATGGTCCAATTTTAGCTAGAATCTGGGAGTTGGACGTTATCCCATCTGACTGGTCACAATCACTTATCGTCCCAATGTATAAGAGAGGGTCAAAATCATCCTGTGACAACCATGGAGGGATTAGTTTAACTAATGTAGCATCTAAAATACTAGTCTCGATAATTATCGGACGCATAACTAAGACTCGTGAACTACAAATACGAGAGAATCAAGCTGGCTTCAGATCTGGTCGTGGCTGCATCGACTACATATTCACCATTCGTCAGGTTCTAGAACACAGGCATGCTTATCGGCGTCCGACAATGGTGGTCTTTCTTGACTTGAAAGCAGCATTTGACTCCGTAGACCGCGAGATTCTGTGGTAGTGTCTGTCACTGAAAGGCGTACCTCAGAAGTACATAAACCTTGTGAAGGTTCTTTACTCGAACACTACTAGTCGAGTGAGAGCTTATGGAACCTCAAGTGGTGTCCGTCAAGGCTGTCCACTTTCATCATTTTTGTTTATCGTCGACTGAATTCTTGGGTATTGATCTCCTACCAGGAGGTCCACTTACCGAATTAGAATACTCAGATGATATAGTCCTGTTTGGTGAAGACGCTGATAAAATGCAGTCTTTTGGTAGCACTGAGCAACAATGCCAGAATGTTTGGGATGCCCTTCTGTCCTTCTAAATGCGAGTTGTTGCTTCAGGACTGGTCTGCGTCAACACCTGAACTAAGGTTAGAGAGTGGAGTAGTCGAACGCATTGACAACTTCACTTATCTTGGAAGTCTGATCAGCCCTAATGGGTTGGTGTCTGACGAAATCTTAGCATGGATTCGAAAAACTCATTCGGCTTTCGCCAACTTATGTCGCTTATGGCAAAGGTGAGATATCCGTCTATCAATAAAAGGACGAGTATACTGCACGGCAGTTCGTTCTGTTTTACCTTACGGCTGCGAAACATGGTCATTAAGAGTCGAAGATACTCGTAAGCTACTAGTATTTGACCACAGATGCCTTAGAAATATTGCTCACATCTGCTGCGATCACCGGCTAAGTAATAGTGAAGTTAGACACAGGATATTAGGGAATGATGGTAAATCAGTTGATGAGGTTGTGAGTCTTCATCGACTGAGATGGTTGGACCACGTGTTGTGTATACCTGAACACCGGATTACCACGACGCTCAGTGCTGACTAGTGTTGGAAATGGTTGGAAGAAAGTTAGGGGCAGCCATACCAAAACGTGGCATCAGTGCTTGAAGTCACTAACCTCTAGTCTGTGTCATGTTGGTAGATGCAGACTACTTGGTTGAGGTTCGCGTGACCATCGTAACCAATGGGTGGAAACTTAGGGTGATACAGCTCAGAATCGATCACAATGGCGTAGGTGTATACACTTTCGGTTTTCCTTTAAACCGTGAGATTAAAATCGCTTCATATCTTTCTTTCTACGAACTAATTCTTTCTTCCTGTACTATATCCTTATATGCAATCTTTCTTTTATATATTACCACCATTGAATTAACTACTTTTATGAATCCGGTGTTTATTTTGCTGTGCTAATGAGGTATGGCAACTTGAACCGATGCATATATGTGCCTGATCCTACGTTGTAGCTGACTGACTGACGCTATTTATTGGAACATTCTGAGGACTATACAGATATATTTGTAGTGCTCATCTTACATGGTCGAAACAAGTATGATTCATTTCTTAATCTCATTAAAAATAACCGGCAATTTTCATTATCCTAATTGGCCCGTCGATATACCGTTCTTATCTTCATGATTTAAGACTAACAATCAGAAGTCGCACAGTTGGATTCGACAATTTTTTAAAACTTTAACCAACGCTTTTGTAAAAAAAACTTCAGCTGATTCTCACTCTTACTTTGCTAAAACTGTCGCTATATGTACAGAGTTGTTTCGTTACAGTTTTGACTTTGTAAATACGGTATCCTGCTCCGAGTTCGTTACTTCCACTACTCGGCGGATTATTGTTGAAGTATTGTATCAGTCGCCCGGTCTATTGACTTAGTGAATATCCAGCTCCTTACTAAAACGACAATCCAACTGTTTGTAGTTACTGTAGACCTCAGAGATACCCAACAGAATTATAGCTACCATTCAGTGAATGTTTATCTACCAACTCATTCCACGTGGGTCCAAGCAATTAAGTCATTTAATTTTAAATCAATCCTTAACGATTCAACACCGACTAATGAAACTGGAGCTTGACTACTTTATCCTTCGCTTTATTTTATCAGACTGTACTACTGCACTGTGTTCAATGTTGATCTTTCTCGATGGAAAACAATAGCTTGATTTTTTCATTTGTAATGATTATGTTATGTACATATCTTCCACTGTCTTGCTTTAGTTTATATCAGCTACAAATGTTCAAATTTCTACAGAGACTTAAGTATGAATTATCTAGTATGCAAGACATTTTATGTTCTTTTATTTCATATGTTGAATTCAATTTAGCAATTAAAATTCCATCTGACAATTAAAGTGTTAAGATAAAACATTATCAGTATTATTGAATGAAGTTAGAAATAAAAATAATTGGATTAAGACTCAGAAACATGAAGCTTCTTAGTCCGATCCTTGACTAGGTTCTAAGTGTGTGTTGCTGAAGAATCCAACATTAGGATGAAACAGCTATCCCGTCCATCCTGGTTCTCAGTGATAACATCATGTTAGAATGATCCTTGACATTAAACACCAAATATCTTTTGCAAGATAGTTTGATAGAACATTTATTATCCCCCTCAACATGTTAGTTATATGGTATGAATGAATGCGTGTACATATTCTCAACTATTACGAAAGACAATGCTTTCTGAGTAACATTTACTACAGAAAAAATTTAACATTACTGAGTAAACTTGACAATAATTTTAGGTTTACATTTTAAACTACTAGAAAAGTACTTGAGTAGAAAAGAACGTAGCAACAAAATAGGTAGACGCATACATTTTTTCAGTTATACACTTGGGATCTTTCATCTGTTTTACACACGAATAAATGTGTCCAACTTAAAATCGCATTTATTCTTTCACCATTCATTAGCAATAAAACTGTCGAAAAATTCAGGTTGATCATTAAGCTAAAACATATAGTTATCGCTTTATTGAATATAACAACTAATGATATCAAAGTATGTCGGCAGTTGCTACGATTTGCAACACAAAAGAAAAAATACATATGGTAAAAACAAATCTAAAGAAAGAAAATAAAATCTAGAATATATTAGGGATATCCCAGTTTCGGATCAGTCGTTACTTGGAGTTATTTACCCAACCACTTAAGTAAATTACATATCCTTATGTGCATCAAAACAACAGTCAGTGACAACGTAAATTGATGTCACACTTGGATCCACACAACCATGACGCTATTACTTTCTAGTAGTAATTTAGCTATTGTCCCTTGACGAAATAAAACAGCGTAGTGAAGGTTCATGACATTAACGATTGAATAGATTTCCTTGCCAAGAACTTTGTACCTTACAACCACACGTTCGGTAGCTTTACCTCAATACTTCGAAGATATTGATGATCAAATGTCTCCTTATTAGGGCAACCATACATCCCGATAATATAATAAACAAATTAAGGTGGAAAGAAACGGAGGAAGAAGTATTTTTCGATGAATAAGTGACAAAACTGAAGCATCATATATATAACTTTTTCAGATATTTAAAAAAATAAAGATCTACCACAACCTCTTTCAACAAATTGAAAAAATATGGTGATATGAATAAAATAATACATCGAACAAAAAATATCTTCACAAAGAAACATAAATATCCACAGCATTTTGATCAAAGGAAATGCATTGATACACCAAAGACATAAATATACATCCACAAACAGATATATATGTATATGAGACAGGTTCAATTGAAATTCATTTCTGCAAGTTTCAAAGCCTTACGACCTAATGCTTCAGCTTTGGCGACAGCTAACAGTTCTGGTGATGTTTGACACCAACCGGAACGTCTACGATCAGCGGTTAAAGACGTAAACTCTGGGGATTTAAGCAGGGATTGCTTTGAAGTAGAACTTGTTAGTGGTTGACGTTTCTGTTGTTGTGATTGTTTGACAAACGGTGATGATTGCTTCGGTGATTGAAGTTTAGGCGCTGATTTCAATGTATCTTTACGAGATTTAGACAAGTTATGTTGACTAACAAATGACTCATCATTATCACTGTCTGAAAACAAATCAATAAGTCGAGTTCGGACACGTTGTTGAACTGCAGAATTACCACGTTTACTACTACTAGTACTACTAGGACTCAAAAATCTATTACCAGATACCGTCGATATAAGTCCACCACCATCAGGAGTAGATGCTTTAGTTGGTGAATTTAAACATATCGATCGAGAATTCAACGTTTTCACATTAGTTTTTTTAGAGCTGAATAATTGTAGAATGAGAAATTTAAGCGAAAAAACAATTACTAATACAACATTTAGGATATAATAATTTTAGCTTATTAATATGACGGAAATTTCACTTTATATTCTTACAAATTTAGGTTGGCAGTTTTAAATTGTACATTAATCTAAAAGAGACAGATCTATCTATTTATGAACTGATAATGATATGAAAAACAATTAGGAATCGTTGAACAGTGAAATACAATATTATTAGAATAAAATATAACTTAAATACTAACAAGTTTATAAACTTGACCTTGAGACATTAGAGATGGAAAGGGACTTGAACATGCAACCAATTAGTTGGAAGTTAAGTAGTGTGACCGTCAACCCACCGCTCTTATATAATCATCAACTTCACTTGAAGATCAGTCATCAACACAGTCATTACCATAACTTAGGAATGGTGCTTGTTAACAATAGGTTTGGTACATGACTTTTAACCACACCCTAGTTCCATAGAAACCTCTAAGACTTGGAACTCAAACGGGAAATAAAAGGGAGAAGGTATGAAAAGAAACATTACTTCTAAAGTTAGTTTAAGTACTAAAAACACTGACATTTATTAGTTTGTATAGTCTTGACATTTTGGAAGCTCCTGGAACTATGCTAAAATAGGAAATTGTTCAAACAGGATATAGCGCATAATTTGCCTTTTTCATTCGACGATGATTGAACGAAGCGTTTGTAGCTTTTAAAAATCTTTCCGGAACACTCTTGAGGGCTCCCAACAGTTAAGGAACTTGAAATTCCTCAGGTTAGTGACAGTCAGACCTTAGAATGCATATCCTTAAATTATTTCATAATGGTTTATAAGTTTGAAAACCTCTTGAACAACATTAATTTGGATTTAAAATACTCATAAGTTCATTGATTTCATCAACTAGGACTATTATGAACAACATAATGATCATAAGAGATTTAATTGAAGGAATCGTGTGGAGATTGATTGAATTTGCAGATTGTTTGTCAAAGATTGATCTCAAATGAAGTATTATTTAAAAAACAGGAGCTGTATAAGTGCTGGTGGGGGTGTGAGTGATGAGATCAATGCACGAATAGTGAAAGCCAGAGCGGATTATGCCAATCTGGGCCACCTTTGGCGCCTTCGTGATGTTAGTCTGGCTGTAAAAGGTCGGATCTACGACGCGTCGGTGAGAGCAGTTTTGCTCTATGTTTGTGAAACCTGGTCTCTCCGAGTTGAGGACGTTAGACGACTCTCTGTGTTCGATCATCGTTGTTTCCGAAGGACTGCTGACATCCAGTGGCAACACCATGTCAGTAATGCAGAGGTTCGGCATCGTGTGTTCAGGTGCACAGACGATAATCCAATTCGTGTCACCATCTTGAAACATAGACTTTGGTGGCTTGAATATGTTCTACGAATGTCGCCGAGAGAATTCCACGTCGTGCATTATTTGCCGACGCTGAGACTGGCTGGAAAAAGCGGAGAGGTGGTCAGTGTATGACACGGTGTCGTGGTATGAAGGAAAGCTGCAAAGGGCTGGCTTCTGTTGGTCCTTCACGACTCCCTGGCTGAGGTCCGAGAGATGGTGCAACATTGGCTATAGACGTTATCAGATATGGCTCAGAGTAGAAGCCAATGGCGATCCTGCTGCAACCTACTTTTACTTTCTTTACAAAAAGTGGTTGTATCTTCCTTAACTGAAAGAATTCTTCCGGTCGTACCTTTTCGTTTCCCCCATTATTATTATTATTACATTACCTTTTTTCTCTTCCCATTCTCATTGTTTTGTGTGGCACATATATATGGTTCCCCCTTGTACTAATATTTGTATTCAAATAAAATAAACGGGTTGAAGATCATAAAGGTGTTTCGTGTTATCTGAGCTATCTGGTTTAATTATGTTTTTTCTGATGTGAAATTTCTTGAGTCAATACTTGGTTGTTGTAGTAAAGGATTTCATTAATATATTTTGATTTTCGACACGAGTCTCAAGCATTCGCGAATTCGTTCTGGTGATCGATCACATCCGATAATGGTAGTTTATTGTCTGATTTTATCATCAATGTGGATTTTATGTCGTTGAAGATACCACTGACTAAACTGTAAAATACTTCTAGGTGATCACTTTTGATGGTGGCGATGAATACATCGCCTCTAAGATTAAACAATTCAGATCAAAGAACAAAACACCTCCAAGATGATTTAGAAGTAATAAGAGATATTCACTGATGATAATGGTACACACTAAAGTTAGGCTACTGAACTAATTAAGCTGACTATCAAATAACCTATAACCTATAAATATAATTAAAATATTGGGCGAGCTGGGACTTGACTGTTTGGTGATTCAACTGTGAAAATAACTGAGAATTCAAACACCACAAGTGAGCGTTCAAATCAAAGTACCCATCCAATTGATTTTGGTCTAATATAAAACTTATATTCAAGATATATTCTTATAATTCTGAAATGAAAGTCAAGCAGGCTTACAGATATCAATCTGATTACATGAAAAAAATCTAAAACTACTAAGTAACCTAGAAATTGTTTGGGCATATGTGAAGTGTTGAACGTACTACAACAGTTATTATCAGCCACTGAAAAGAGTAGTTCTTCAACAAGTCAAAAATCTTCTATGTAAAGTCAATTAGATGTGTTATAGAAGTATAAACACATGGAATGACTAACACCTGATGAAACTAAACTATATGTTTTACATCATCTATTGACCTTAGTTACACAGCCATTGAAAACCAAGAAATGTTGAACAGATGCGTTGTCCTAGTATAAGACTCCCTAGCAATAGGAAACCACGACCCCACCAGGGGTCGAGCCCACGACCTTCGAGTTTTATGCTAAGCGCCTGACATTCGGACCACTAAGTCGAAATCTAGTGGTTAGCAATTCCAACTACAACTAATTCGCCACATTTAGCAACCATCGATCCATTCCATTAGTGGAGAACTGACTCACATGATTGAACTCCACTAGTTACAGCTTCACACTTGCAACTCCGACAGTTACCTACCGAAACTATTGTTACTAAGTAGATGATTGGTGTCGATAATAATAATAATAATAATAATAAAGATTTGATCTTTACACTTACTTTGGTTTCGCATCAATCTCAGATATTTTAGAGTGTTTTAGAGAGTCTACTACTTCAGACGAAGAAGTAACAGCTGGTGATATATTCTCTAACTGTTTGGAACGACCGGGTGGACGACCTCGGGGTCGTTTACTAGGTAAACTATCTGGAGTTTTTGGAATTGTATGAATAAGTTCCAAATTCTCCACTGAATTTAAAGCGCGTGAATCATTGATCTGTAGTAGTGAAATATAGAAAGAAAGTGAATATTTATCATGACAGGTTCAATAGTAAAGTATAATAGCAAAAATAAAAGTATAGGATAGCACAAGAAAACCATAAAATAAGTAAATTTGAGGAATACGTAACAGAAGTGTTCATACACAATGATCAAAATAATGAAATCTATCCTTTGCTTCTACTGCATTCTTTAAAGAGCAATAAAACGAGTATATTCCCAATGAATAATATGAAAAAAGAGGGTCTCTGAAATTGATTTTTTAAGTGACAAACATATTTGCATGAAATAAGAATAGGTCAAAGCATATGAAATCTTTTCAAACGCTTTTTTATGGAAAACACTTTACATTCACCAGTAACATAGTGTAAGAAATCTGGAGTCCTCTAAATGTATGTTTGGGGATAGTTGAAGCAGTTATCTCATAAGTCTTACCATAACTGGGACAATAAACTCGGTAATCAGGAGACATTTTAGGCATATTGTCCCAGCGGTTCCCCAATCGAGGATTATTTCGTATGCTGGGACAAAGTACTGAGTTTAAGACAGACAATCATGGAACGAAAGTTGCTTTGCTAGTGTCTATTGGTTCATCATGAATACCTGGATGAAAATCCACGGAACAAAATTCAGTAGCTTGGCACATTGTTAGAAATAATTCAGATTTCATGTTAGCGATGACTCTACCACAGTTTCTATTGTGATTTTTCATAATTAGTAAGACTTATCTTTAAACTAAATGAGGGGCGTTTTGTGTTACAACTCCAACTGTATCCCTTGATGCTCACTGCTCCTCCACTACTTCAATGACTTATCTCCTTTTCACTGATTATTGTGTGGTTCGTACTTATATTACGCAACTTCAACCATAGCCAACCTCGACATTTACGGTTGGTTGGAGTAGGAATATGTTGGAAGAAAGCTAACAGCGGTCAAACTAAGATAAGGTGTCAGTTCATTAAATCACTGACTGGTAGATTGAACAGTGTTGGTAGGTGCGGAGTACCTAGTCAGAATATGTACAATAACTGCGAACAGTAGTTGATGTTAAATGATGTGGTTTATAACCAGTCATTGTGGTCAAATATATCCGTTCTTTACTTTTCTCTAGATTTTGAGTTCCGGCATTTCTTCATATATACGATTTCATTCTTTCTTCTCGAACGACATTCTCAAGTTTATTCTTTCTCACTACCACTGATACTGTAATTATTTTAACTCTTTTGCTATTCATTTTGTTTTGATGATTTGGTGTGTTAACTTCAATTAACGCATATTTATGTTAGAATTTACTTTAATCATGACTGACTAACTAAATTGGTTGGATCCTAGTTGACAGGCATTCATATACCATTTAAATGAATGGATTTCTTGAAAGAACTCTGGAAAACACTGACAGAAGTATATATGTAAGTTTAGATGACGGCAGAAGATGATTTTCAGAAACCCAATATGTCACTGAGAAGTAGGATAACCCCAAAGACTTTAATACGATAACTTAGGAATTTCAATTTGAACAAAAGATCGTAGTGACCACAATTGCTACTTTGACAACCACTACCATGATCTGACAATCAAACTTCCTCTAGAAGCTTCAACACTAAATATATATTATATTGAATTAAAATGAAAAAATCTTAATTTAATAACTTTCAGTTTATCTAAATACTTTTTTCTCAATAAAAATATACTTGCAAATATATCTACCTACCTTTGAAGAATTATCTATATTATATTTACGCCGTGAAGGCGAAGCTTTGATACTTGTTTCATCCGATTCCATAGTTAATTTATAGCTTGGCAAGACGGTAGATTGTTTATTGCTGAAAGAACATTTTGCATTGTACAATAATTGACGTAGACGAGAATAATCTGGTGTATCTGTATAATTCAGCTTTATGATAGATTGAATAAATGCTAGTATATCTATAACAACGGAACAAAATAACATATTCTTTTCTCAAAAAAGCGAAACATTGGATACAAAATTTATCTATCACAATAAAAATCAATCATTAGGTTAGAAGTATCGGGGTAGTTGTCACTTCTAGGTCGCTCACGTTGTGGAAGTATACTTCACCTTGAGAGATCTGGAAAGGGATTTGGGTTCATAATGGGTTCGATGACTTCAGAGTGACCGTAGAGCTCAACTGTTTGAGCCTGGCCACACATGGCTTTTGTATCCTTGGTTTCAAATGTGTTAACCTTGATTTTAAAGGTCTTACCGTAGGCAATAGAAATCCACGGGCCAAAGTGAGGTGTGCTATTTCTAGGGGCTGACATGTCCTACCCCCCTTCAATCTCGAGAAAACAGTATAGCTGCAGATGCTGTGTGAGAGTAACATCTTACTGCTACCACACTCCAGTATAATCAGCAGTACAACTTTACCCTAGGACTATGAGTTTGTTGCTTTTAGTCTTACAGCTCTCTAACAAAACTGCCTGGTACAGTATGACCTGAAGGTATGAATGTTCCACTCAACATAGCTAGATTGGATCAGTTACGATCAGGTCGCAATAACAACATAAACATAAACAAACATTAATTTCGATATTATTAGCATTATAATTTTTGTAAGGGTTTGTATATATACTCGTTATTCATATACAAGACTGCGTTTGAACCAGTCTCTGAGTATGAACCGGTGAAGCAGACACTAATAGTACCTTTAGCTACAAGTTGAATAGACATTTAATAGAGCGACTATATCTGAATACACTGAGAACTTATTCATTTTGCCTCTTGTCATATCTTTTTTATCAATAAATGATTTGTGTTGTTAGTCTTGAATGCCCATACACTATTTCAAAATGTAAAAACTTGGAATAACGTATATCTTGTTAGCCACTGTTTCAAATTTTTCCGGTTGTAATCACAGATCTTAAATCACTTAGGCTAGTCGATAGCAATTTATGGTGTTTAAGAATGTACAGATATTTTTGTACAGTAACAAAATAAAGAAAACGTTTTTCTATACCAAATAATGTTTCATAAGATAATTTCGAGAATTGGTCTACAGGAAGGACCATTTATCGACTGTGAATAAGCAGATGAAACAGTCGATTTTGGTGATGATGATATAATTTAGTCCTTTGATCGCCCTGAATAACAATACAAGCACGTTTATGGTGTGTTTCACTCCGTCTAAATGTAAAATATTGTTTCAGGAATGGTCTGCATTAACCCTTAGATTGGTCATAAGGAGTGAAGTGATTGATTGCATCAACTATCCCACTGAATTTGAAAGTTTAATCAGCCCTGCTGGAGTAGTGCCTAATAAAATATCAACACGGATTCTTAAGGCACCCTTCGCTCAACCAACGTACGTCACTTGTAGTATAGGTGAGATATCCGTTTACCAAGTAAAGAGCGAATATAGTTCACAATAGTCTGCGTTGCATTATTCTAAGACTCTGAAACATAGTTTACAAAAGTAGAAGACATATGTAGGCGGCAAGCTTAAAAGCATTTTTGATCACGACTTATTGATTAACCTTCTGAGAAAATGTTACCAAATGTAGTAAGTAAATAGAAAAATACAAATATTAAAACCAACCAGGATTAGGTCCGTAACCAGCTTGTGATACCAATTCAGCAGGGTTTCTCATTGTTTTCTCTTTTAAGGTAGCCACAGCCACTTTCACACGATCAGGAACATTTGCACGCAGTTTTGGATCTACATAAACAGGTGAGTGGGGAGGTTAGAATAAAAATACTGTCCTATTATTTAACATGATAGATACTGGATAATACCATAAAAGATGCATTATTTCAAATATTTTTATAGTGTTAATGGTTTTCGTGACTTCATCATTTATGGTAAGCATTTTGGGAATGGATAAATATCAGTTGAATAACTGGTTAGAAATCAGGCAGCAATTAATGGTTTGCTGAGCAGTAGTTCGCTTCGTTCTACTTTATAGGTGTAAAAAAACGCCACTAAAAATAGGGGAAATTCGCAGATTACTAGTATTCAATCACAGACATCTTCAAACAATTTTTCGTGTATTTTGGGACCACTGAGTAAGCAGTGCCTGAGTTAGGAATAGAGTACTGGGTAAAGATAGCAAATCGATTGTGAGGTATTATTCATCAAATGAGGTGACTAAGACACGTAATATATATGCCAAACCACCGACTACTTTGACGGGTGATCTTGTCTGGTGTAGGAGTATGTTTGAAGAAAGCTAGGGTTGGCCAAACCAAAACATGGCACCAGTCCATGTAATCATTGACGAATGGTGTAGACTACATAGTTGGAGTCCGTATGATTATCGTAACCAATGGTTAGAGACTTTGAATGACATGGCTCAAAATCGTTTGCAACGGCGCAAGTGTATCCATTCTTTATCTTCCTTCAAATTTTAGGCTTCTGAATTCCCCATAACTTTCATTGTCTTTATTTCACTAATTTATATTTTTTGAGTCGCAACCTTCAAAGCTTAGACTTTTCTGTCACTACTAAAACTGTTAATACCTCTACTGCTCTTAAATGTTGCCTGACAATTTCATTTCTCCGTTCTATTGGTGTATGGCAACTTGAACCAATGTGCATACGTACATTTTGTTTCATGTTGCGGCTGACTGAATGAGCAATCAGCCAGTCAGCTACAACGTAGGATCAGGCACATATATGCATCGGTTCAAGTTGCCATACCTCATTAGCACAGCAAAATAAACACCGGATTCATAAAAGTAGTTAATTCAATGGTGGTAATATATAAAAGAAAGATTGCATATAAGGATATAGTACAGGAAGAAAGAATTAGTTCGTAGAAAGAAAGATATGAAGCGATTTTAATCTCACGGTTTAAAGGAAAACCGAAAGTGTATACACCTACGCCATTGTGATCGATTCTGAGCTGTATCACCCTAAGTTTCCACCCATTGGTTACGATGGTCACGCGAACCTCAACCAAGTAGTCTGCATCTACCAACATGACACAGACTAGAGGTTAGTGACTTCAAGCACTGATGCCACGTTTTGGTATGGCTGCCCCTAACTTTCTTCCAACCATTTCCAACACTAGTCAGCACTGAGCGTCGTGGTAATCCGGTGTTCAGGTATACACAACACGTGGTCCAACCATCTCAGTCGATGAAGACTCACAACCTCATCAACTGATTTACCATCATTCCCTAATATCCTGTGTCTAACTTCACTATTACTTAGCCGGTGATCGCAGCAGATGTGAGCAATATTTCTAAGGCATCTGTGGTCAAATACTAGTAGCTTACGAGTATCTTCGACTCTTAATGACCATGTTTCGCAGCCGTAAGGTAAAACAGAACGAACTGCCGTGCAGTATACTCGTCCTTTTATTGATAGACGGATATCTCACCTTTGCCATAAGCGACATAAGTTGGCGAAAGCCGAATGAGTTTTTCGAATCCATGCTAAGATTTCGTCAGACACCAACCCATTAGGGCTGATCAGACTTCCAAGATAAGTGAAGTTGTCAATGCGTTCGACTACTCCACTCTCTAACCTTAGTTCAGGTGTTGACGCAGACCAGTCCTGAAGCAACAACTCGCATTTAGAAGGACAGAAGGGCATCCCAAACATTCTGGCATTGTTGCTCAGTGCTACCAAAAGACTGCATTTTATCAGCGTCTTCACCAAACAGGACTATATCATCTGAGTATTCTAATTCGGTAAGTGGACCTCCTGGTAGGAGATCAATACCCAAGAATTCAGTCGACGATAAACAAAAATGATGAAAGTGGACAGCCTTGACGGACACCACTTGAGGTTCCATAAGCTCTCACTCGACTAGTAGTGTTCGAGTAAAGAACCTTCACAAGGTTTATGTACTTCTGAGGTACGCCTTTCAGTGACAGACACTACCACAGAATCTCGCGGTCTACGGAGTCAAATGCTGCTTTCAAGTCAAGAAAGACCACCATTGTCGGACGCCGATAAGCATGCCTGTGTTCTAGAACCTGACGAATGGTGAATATGTAGTCGATGCAGCCACGACCAGATCTGAAGCCAGCTTGATTCTCTCGTATTTGTAGTTCACGAGTCTTAGTTATGCGTCCGATAATTATCGAGACTAGTATTTTAGATGCTACATTAGTTAAACTAATCCCTCCATGGTTGTCACAGGATGATTTTGACCCTCTCTTATACATTGGGACGATAAGTGATTGTGACCAGTCAGATGGGATAACGTCCAACTCCCAGATTCTAGCTAAAATTGGACCATCATCCTCAAAGATCTCTGGAGCCAATTCATCTGGACCAGCTGCTCTTCTTCGTTTCAGACTGACTATAGACTTTTGAATTTCAGATAGAGTCGGGTGACCTACTACCTAATATCGAGTCATAGATTAAAAAGGAGTTAAACGGATCAAGTACTTAATTATTTCTATGGACAGTGTATATAGCACGTAAATTAACCATATTCCTAAAGGCTTCATCCTGCCTCAATATCCCATTCACACTGTTTTGAAATGGAGGGTAGTTGTAGAGTAGCTGAAGGCCAGCTGAACTGTTCTCTAAAATGTTCCGCCCATCGTTCTAAACGTCTGGACTGAGAGCAGATGAGAGTGCCGTCTTTTTCCGAAATAGTCTCACTTACAATTAACTTATTAATTCCAGTTTCTTTTATTAGTCTGAAGAGCTGTCTTCTGTTCCCTATAGCCGCCGCCTTTTCCATCTCTTTTGCTTTCGATGCCCATCATTGCCCACGGTCGTTCCTTAGACTTTTGCTTAACCCAGATCTGAATTGTTTACGCTCTTCGTCGTGCTCAGAGTCTGATGGGATGGGTTTACGAGGATCTATCAGTGCAATAGACATTGAAGAAATCCATTGTCTCTTTGTAACCCTGTGGTTTAAATCACTAGTAGACGTCACTTCTGTTTCCACAGCTGCTTGTATATCTTTCCAAGCAACATCTGGGTCACCCTCGTTTTCAAAACTACCTAAGTGTGACCTCAATTGTTCCTGGAACCTACTTTTGCTTTTCTCGTTATTCATTTCAGTTCCAATGGGTCTTTTTAGTGTGGCTTTTTGCGTCCAGTGAGGTGCAAGAAGATGCGTGCCCGTAATAGGGCATGACCGGAGTCCACGTAGGTACTCCAGAATGGGCGATAATCTTCTACCGACCCTCTCCAACGATGGCTGATGGCAATATGGTCTACTTGAGTCCATCGTTGGTTTGTTGTAAGGGGTCGCCATGTCAAATGATCTCTCCTTATGCTTAAAATTAGTGTTTTCTAAAAATAAACGATTGTCTGAGCACAGTTGCAGCAGACGATCACCATTATCTGTTCGCTGTGCCGGAATACTAAAATACCCACCTAAATGCCTTTATGTTTGGCTTAAGATACCTATCTTGGCATTAAAGTCACCCCCTACGAGTACTATGTTTGAACGTTTAGCTTTCTGTAAAATTCATCTTTCACTTCATCCGAGCTGCAGTCAGTGGGAGCGTAGGCAGCAGCGACAAAAAGGCAACAACGTGTGACCCTATCCTTCCGAGTTCTTACGGAGCCGTTTAGCCGAACAGCACATAGACGACTGTTAACGGGGATTCCTTCTAACAGTGCTTGATCCGTCCTCATGCTTAGTGCTATACCTACACCTACCGGTCTACGAGAATTGGCCATCGGGTCGCCATATACACGGAGGGTGTATCTCGTCAGCTCTCCGTTTTGCTGAAGTGAGGTCAAGTGAGTGACAACACTAGGATCCTGCATACGTGTTTCGGAGACACAGCATACATCAGTGGTACGAGATTCTAGGGTCCTAGTCAAGGAGGCCTGCTGACCGGTTTGATATAGGGTGCGTACATTGAAGGATCCAATGTGTAGTTTGGAGCGAGGTTTCAGTAGACCTGGGACAGTGTTTCGTGCACTAGAATCGTTGACCATAATGACACTTGAGGAGGAAGTCAAAAAAGCAAGTTTAGAGTTGAAAGTCGATGTAAGAGGAACAATGGGAATTGAAGAGGGAAATTGGTTATGAATACAGTGGTCTTGAGTGCTGTTAGAGGTATGAGGGCGGTTATCAATTCCCGGTTGCTTACACTGTGAAAGGGTTCTTCTGGAGGTACCTGAAAAGAAAATTGGATTAGAGGTGGTCTTGGTGACCTGAGAGCGTGACCGCAGTGCCCAAGAGACAACTGCTTGAGGTCGGTCACACACGACCTTTTCATGGGTAATTTTTGTTAGCTCCGTACTTGATGAGACCTTATCGCCGGAGACGGATATCCGTGGGATAAGGCGAGGTGTACCTTTTTAGGGTCGACCTTTTCTAACCCCACCCCTCCTTGTCGGAAGGCAGCATTGTTGTTATGCTGGTTGTCTGAAGTAAACACCTTACTGCTGTCACACCTCTGTACAGTCAGCAATACGACTTCGCCTTCAGACCTTGGATTTGTTGGTTTTAGTCTTACCGCTGTTCAACTGACTTTTCTGGCATAGTAGGACCTTGAGGAACGGTTGTTTCAGCCAGTATAGCTCGGTTGCTTCATCACGATAGGCAAGTCTGACCACCACGTCAAGGTAGCAACAACGGTCGGGGACTGAATGAGCAACAAACGACTGTTTTATTATTCTGTGCAGTCTTATGAAAATCATGTTATGACTGGTTATTCTACCCTGAAATTAATGGTCAGTATATATTTAAAACCTAATCCATTCATGATAAACAGAAACATTGTCATCGTATTTTCTCATGAGACACGGATTCTTCTTACAAATCACTAAGATCTTCAATGGGCTAAGACAAAACAAAACTTAAATGTGTCGTTTGTTTCTAACCCCTAAATGCCCTGCTACGGCCGAGAGTGGGGAGAGTCAACTATCCCTCTCGAAGTGCTCTCACATGGCCACGCGTATATAGCCTCTGCTAGGGAAGTCCTACCCAATGCCTTCTCGTGGCGGGGGTATTGTTTACGAAATTGAGAGGACGAAAAGAGAAACTCTGGTACTTTAACCGGGTTGGTGGACATGGAGAGTTCACTTAGGGGAGTTGGAAAACCCTGATTCCAAACCAACGGTGCACATGGGCTCCATTATCCTGAGGGAAAAAATGGCGTATGAACCAATCGTTGGTCACCGGCTACTATGGGACTGCATCTCCTGACGTTCCTCCATTCCCTTGTGGATTAGACCTTTAGGTCAATGGCTCGGGATGTGGCTCCCTAAGAAAACCACCTGCTTCGGCTTGGGCACCCGGTCAGCATCCTAGCCCTCACACAAATCGAGTGATTTATGTGGCGCATATCTATTTAATGCCTTTTTGTACCTATGTTTATGTGTTTAAATAAATAAAATAAATAATTTTCCTTAAATAAGTATCAACCTTGATAGATCAAAAATTACTTATGCTTGATATCAGAACAGACACGAATCCTTAACTGTCTTCCTCTCTAGGTAGCTGGTTCGTCAATACGTCACTAGATCTGTTTGACAACCTACTAAAAATCAAGATCATTGTATTTCAAATTTACAACTGTAAAAACATGTTCAATGAGGTTAGATGTGTGCGTTACTAGTATTCGATCAAAGATGTTTTTGAAGGGATATAAATATAAACGTGTATTTAGCGAGTGTATAAAGCAATTCACATTAAATCACGACTGCACTATAGATGAAATACCTGATATGAGATGTCCCCAAGGAAGACCTGTCGAATGCAATTGAGGGGCATTTGGATGAGATCTAGCTAACCAATGAATGAGATTGTAAACCAAAATTTCCAAATCTCCTCTACGAGATGGTGGAATTCCTACAAATAAAGAAGACAAGTAGCACTTCACGGTAAGAAAATAATAATTTATCCAACAAAATGCATTTAACATTAGACATACATACTAATTCAGCGTGAAATACACTGGATGCAACCTGTATATCTGCCTACTTTTCAATTGTTACTTAAGATATTAAACAAAAAATAAGACTAAGAAAAACATACATGGTGACAAATACACTGGTAGACATGTAGAACTGCTAAGAGAACAACTGATATCATAATGCACGGCAAAAATCAAAGCTTTGAAGAATCCAGTTAACTTTGGAAGAAAAGACAACCCAAAGCACAACAGAACGTGGGATCTAGGACATAAAAAATGTGAAAAAACTCTCCTCGAACAAATACAATCAGACTATTTCCTATTGGTGTACAAAAACTACACCAAAATGACATGAACTTGAATTTGAGAGGGCTTAACTAATCATTTAAGCCGATCCGCGTAGATTGAATTGACTAAGTGTATGGAAAACGGCTCCATAAAATTACAGTTGATTAAGGGCTCATTGTTTAATGTTTCATATTTAAACAACCAATAATGAGATTTATCAGAAGTATAAAATAGGTAATATATATTCAGAAATCAATATCCCGATAATACTCACAGAACATCCAAACATTGTTGAGTTATACTTTAACACTCAATACCCTATACGTAAAATAATCTCCAACTACAATTCAACGGAGTGAAGAGGAATAACTAGAAACAACCATACAAAAAGACAATAATTATTGCTACTACTCAATGCTACGACTTTCCAATAATTCAGCAGATATAACTAGTAGGGTAATTTTTCTAGCTTATAAAAAAAACTTAATACAAATACACATTATATTTCGAGTTGTATCTACATTTTACAACTGAGAAAAGTATTGAAACTTTTATTCTGAAAAAAACATCAGCACAATATGTGAGTAAAAAAATCATTTAAAATAACAGATAAATGCAAAAATACAATATTCTTCTGAATATACCAACCATTATGTGCATCTCTTGAACAAAATTCTATTGTTCCATTGTGACGAAATTTTGGATCTGCCTTTTCAGCAGTATGTACACCTTTGGAACGAAATAAGTGAACTAGACCAAAGTCAGCTAAATAAACCTGAAATTAATTTTTTTAAAAACGAGTTTGGAATGATCAAGTATGTTTTCATTTCTAATTTTATTGAGGACAAACAAAAATTCGGTGAGATTATAATTTATGGGAGACCTTTGACACATTGTAAGATGGTCTTGAAAAATTTCAACCACTTACTAGGCTCAAAATAGGGCTAAGAATTAGTGTTGAGGATCATTAGTTAGGACTGGGGATACTAACTGACACTAGCAATAATCCAAATATGCTTTGTGGCCATATGAATGAACGGACTTTGCACAAAATTCCAAAAAAACACTACTATCTTAAGTCTGATTGGTTGATCTATTAACTATAATCTTCAGTGAGATTATAAAAATTATGGTCTCGCCACAACCGGGAAAGATTTTATTCATTTTGAAGATACATATTTTACGGTTGATAACATAGTGGGAAAATGTAAAGTGTCAGTTATAAACGTAGAACCTGATGCACATGTCCACTACCCAATCCTAAAATAACACGAAGAGATGAAAATAAAATGAATATCAAAGTAAAGTTAGTAATAATAGTGAGAAAGACCAAATGGAAAGACAGAGTGCAAATGTATCTACGAGAGAATACTGAATCTTAAGATCTAAAACAAGATAGAAAATAAATGTATTTGCACCATTGTAGCCAATTTTTAGTCATGCCACCTAACATCGACCGCCGATCGCAGTTAAGAACACTGTAGTAGGATCCTCGTTCACTTCTATTCTGAAACACTTTCGACAACTGTTACGGAGAAATAGATTTTAGTGAATTGTGATGATTCACCTTTACAGGGTTGTTAAAAAGAATAAACAGGATGCTGATCAGTAGATAATGTTCAATAATACTAGGTGACCAAGCGATAACTACTAATGAGACCAGATTAGCGACTCAAATCGTAGGATGTACAAGAAGGACATTGTCATTCTGTTCAAAAAAAGGATTTTTTCGGTAAAATAACATGTTCATATCCAAAATATTAGTTACAAATATGCACATGATCAAATATAAAATGTTTGGAGAATATAACATTTGTAAGTTACTCATCAGCTGATAAAATAAGGACTAGATTTTAGAGCTGATTCTGACTAGCCATATTAGGTCCTCCGCGAAATGATGTGGGATTTCTCCAGGGCAACTGATGAAGTGTTAGAAAGTATGATTGCTTGATCAGTTCGATATGGTAATAGTTCGGTTTAATATTCGATTAGATTTCGATAAACTCAGTTATTATTTATTTCAGTGTGCATTGTACTGTGATTTCTATTATGTGTCTATTCAATTTTGACATCTGTTCATTGAGAAATTCGTTTTTAAGCTAGTAATTAGTTGAATGTAATAAACAATTACCGAAAAGAGAAATTATGTAGAAGATGGTACTTTGTATAAAATATATTCTTCAGTCTCATGAAAGGTTTGTCTTCGCAAGAACTAAGCGGCTAGAGTCAAGAATTTCGAGAATATAGTGTTACAAAGTAATTGCAATGAGTTCACTAGGTCTTGCGTTAACATTTTTCCAATAGCGTAACATAGAGTAGGTCAAAACAACTTGTGGGGAAAATAAGCGATGTAAACCAATGCATGTCTCACATGAATTTAAAAAGGATGTTTACAGTTGCAAACGTGAAGAGGTCAGTTATATAAAGAAATTTCAAAATTAATTATCTACACAATTAATTAACTATTCAAAACTAACCTCCTGTTGCGACGTTCTATGAAGAAGATTTGATGCTTTGATATCTGCATGTGCATAGTCCCTTGAATGCAAATATTCCAACGCATTTAACTAAAACGTTTTAAAGATTATGAACTAGATAAACTACCAATACAAAAACGCTGTTAGGAAAAACGAAGGCTAATGTAATGAATTATGCAAATAATTTCAGTACCCTAAACTATGTGGAAGGTTGACAAAAATGCAATTTCAAATATATGACCTCTTCAGGGTAAATTTTACTCAATACTTTCACGTAGTGCTTCTATAAGAAGTAAGGGTGAAATCAAACGCTCAACGCCTAAAGTGGATAAGAAGAGAATCTGCCTAGGGTAGTTAGATAATTCTGAATCCAAACCACTAGTTTACATCGACTCCATAACCTTGTAGAAACAAGTTACAGATACATTTACTCTAGTCAACGGCTAATCAGGAAATCCAGTCCTTAATACTGTTATAAGGCCTAGAGAGTGCTTTTCCTCAAACAATTATCTGCTTCAATGTCGGTGACTACATTATTTTGATCAGTCTGAACTTTATATCATCTTATATCTGGGTGCATTCCCAACTCCGCTTGGTCTATTCTTTTTCTCACTTTAATTTTAAGTATATATCCTACTCTACAACTTGTGTTTACATGAACGGCTGGTTTTATTCACTCTTCACCCAGCACGATATGATAGAAATATTATGAAAGCACAATTTTTAAAAATGGTTATTGATGAAAAATACAGTAGTCAGTACCATATCAAAATGTTATTCCTCTACCACGCTGACTTCTTCAATATGCTGTCTCAAAGTGAGATGCTTTAAATAAAAATAATAAACTCCCGAGCCCTGCGTCATTTTATCCAGTCAGAAGACATACAAATAAAGGTTTGTAGTATACGCAGTATACAATAAAATCTTTTAAAAGCTAAATGACACGCAGCTTTATGGTCAAAATACTCACCACATTTGCACAGGCTTCTAGAATACCAGATGTGGATATTTCATTATTTTTTAGTGTAGTTTCCAAATCTCCAGAAAACCGATCCATTACAAGAAATCGGAGAGCTGCTTTGTTTAAATTGATTGATCCACTGCTTATATACCTCGGAATACCAAGGTATTTGAGGGAGTGTTTTACTTTCCATGAATTGACTTTTATATTAACCGTGTGAAAAAAACAACAAGTGAACATTACTAAATATGAGTATGCTTAAATCTTAAATAGGAGAGAACATTTTAAAATACAAATATGTATTCGAAACCAAGCGGATTGATTGATGAGTTTACGAAATAAAACGCCTGAACAGTGATAGACATTTTTTATGGATCTTACTAACTGTAAACACATAACGTTATTTGGGTCACAGATTCACTGAAACGATTCCCATTTATAAAGACAAAACTATCGCCATTAAATACTATGATAACAGGATAAAGATTGAAAGTGAAACCGGGACATGTTGATACGTTTATTACTTTTGATCACTGGGTTACGGATACAAAAACAGTTTACTTCAAATCAAACAGTTTGGCAATATTAATAATTTGAGCAACAAATATGACCCACATCCTAGTATAAGAACTTATATTTGGTTACCAGTTCTCACTACTTAATTGAAACAACACTTAACTTTTCTAATCCTGCAAAGGAAGCAACAAACTGAAGCACCTTAACAGTCAGGTAAACATATTTGCCAGATTTTAAATACTTGTGATGACGAAAGATACCATATGACCAAAAAATTATAGTGATCCAAATCCGTAGATTTCCGGCTGCAGTCAAGTTGTTCAAATTAGCAACCCAATTCGTCAGCGAAGAATCCAAGATAAAAAGTCCATTTTGATACATACATACTACCGGTTTGCAACAAGGACAGAAATATATACTTATAATCAATTGAAGCGTGGATACTTTTACCAGTCATTTACAAGATAAATGCTCAAAAAATGGACATTACACACAGTAAATAAGCTTAACTAAGTCCCCAGCATTTCGTATAAACTTTAGGAGTGTTGAGGTTATTTTATGCTCTATAAAATCTAGTAAGGAAGTTACGATGCTAGTTGTTAATCTGAATTCACATTTTCAGGAGCCCCAGTAGGTAGAAACAACCTGTTTCAAGACTGTAAGTGTCTTCACTAGTCTTATGTAGATAATAATCTGTTGCTCATACGCAACATTAGGCAACGTTGGTGCATCACACTGGTATCCTAACTTTTCAAACACAAGAAGACTTTATACCATTGGTTACTGCTTGAACAGCTGTAACTCATCTAATTATACTATTACATCCCAGAAATCTATTGTCTGTACATTCAAAACTACTGCGTTATCCAGAAATATGGCTGAGTAAAAACCCAGGTTGTATAAAAACTAGAATGTAAATATGGAACAGGTTCAACGGAAGTCATAAAAATGTAATCCAAAACATAATACATTATCGGATAGGGAGTTAGCTTGGACATCTCAACAGATTCCTAATATCCGTTGGTTTATCTCAACACGAAGAACGATGAAGCTTGCAAATTATCCGCCTAAAAGATTTAGAGTCTAAGGAAGAGGAAGAGCAACTGCAATACTGTTCTAAAAGCTTTCTCAGCTTATCCATGCCCGTCTGGAGAGGAAATGTGGTGCTAGTAACACAATACGAGACAAACTGAGTACGAATCATGAGAATCATTCTTGAAATACTCAGTTTACTATGCTAACAAATATAATATGCATTCTGTGCCCAACGGTGATAAACGATTGTTTGTAGCAAAAAAGGACTTTTGGTGTGCTAAAAAACACAATCAAGGAGGTTCGTCTCACTTTCCAATGGTGGTAGTGATGTAGTAAAAACAAATGAATTATTTCATTCGTAACAAACAAACCATTTCTTGTGAATAAAACCACTACTGTGGCCATACTCTAAAGTAATCTGCAGGCACTTAAATCTGCTACCAATCACATCTTAAGTGTACACATTGTGGAAATAACTGGCTTTCAGATACCGGACTTTTTGTACATACCAAGAACCACATATTCGTTACAATCAGATACATAATGAGGAACAAGAAATATTTCTTGAAACTATAAATGCTTAATAAGTTTACATTCCATAAATTTATGAACCACGTGGATTAACCTCCCAAGCTAGTTTCTTGCAAGTTGTGATATCCGATGTCTTGGAATTTCAGAATAAGGCTATATTTATTTAACATTACATACCAGTAGTAAGATTGATCAGGATTATTTCACTTTTCAATCACAACGCACGAACGGCATTTTAGAGATAGCCACAAAGGAATTCTATCGTAAGTAAACGCTTATTAACTGTGGAAAGCACATGATACACTGAATGTGATGTGAATATCAGGGAATTCATCCAAAACAAGTAACTAGCGGGAGACCATGATTTACGGACAGACCAAGAAAACTAACGCTAAAGTTTAGGATTTTGGCATATATATGGTTAAGTAGCGTTTCTGCATCATAACTGATGTCATTTCATGTTGAAAACCATTACCATAATTTCTAACCTTATCTTTAAATCCTAATCTCGATTTCCCATAATAATTTTCAACTCCCGACCGTAATAAGCAAGCGAATTTTCTCAAGGTTACTTCAGAGTCACTTAAAGGTTTCCATAAATCAGTCTAACCGAATAACTGCATAAAAATGTGGTGGTGATGGTGAACAAGACTCACTATTGCGTAGTGATGGTCACAGCTGTATGTATATGCTAAACTTTGCCTTCAAACCGACATTTTTGTACAATGGCTCTCAACAAATACGTCACTTTAGAAACAGAACACCCCATAACTTTCAATTTTCAACTATGAAGCTAAAAACAATTAGTAACAAAGTGAGATGCATCAAGAAACAGGACACACTTTCGGATAAAGTACCTAAACACCTCTCTATTATGACTAATTTGTCTGTATGATTGGAAGATACCTTTCGAAGAGAGCATCCCCATATTTAACAAGTTATTTTACATGATGCTATGCCAAGCAATAGTTATGTTGATCGTGTATCTAATGGCAAAGGATTATTTTCCAGGTACAGCCTGAAGAGTAAAAAATTACCTTCTAAAACAACAGTTTGAACCCAAGTACGAAGTAAAGTAACAACTTTTTATACTCCTGATTAAAATACACTTGGAAAACATACTTGAGTCTTCTGAACATGCCCTCATGTAAAAGTGCATTTCCGTAAAAAGTGGCCCGTTTTCTTGCGGTTCCTGAAGATTACTTTAGAAATTCCAAAATCCTTACTATTTTAATGACATAGCGAAAATTTTTTTCGCCTTCAAGTTTGGCTGCGTCAGTTATTAAGAAGCTAAGAACCAAATTTACCTGAGTATATACGTCCAAATCCACCCTGACCAATCGCAGAACCCGTGACCCATCTCCTTTTTAATGAGTCCTGTATTAGCGTTCCGGGATCTATCGGCTGTGCCAGGCTGTACCCAGATGATTTTACGGCCCTACACCTTCGGACCGACATTTCAAAATACCAACCGTCTGTCCGACCTTGAACACATCTGAGAAGACGCTTGCTTATCGCGAGCTTACTTAATCCATGATTTGTGAATATGTACCATGACTAAAATAGGTACTGAACAAAGCTAGAAAATATCCCAGATGTCGTTTTCTTTCTCAAAAAGTATCTTTGTATGATTTTACATGACGGTGAGCATTTGTGGAAATGGTTAATTTCTGCAAACATCCTGTGGTGTTTGAATTAACTGATGTTTCTTTTGTACTTGTTGAATGCTTGATTTCGAATTCCAAATACAATACATTCGTATGTGCTTGTGCCGTAATTCTTGATCTAATTGCATTAATTCTGAGATTCCTAGTTCATACGATAATTTAAATATTATACATTCACACCAACCATTTAATCGAATTTGAACAATTATGGTTACTGGATGAAAGATTGTTTTTTATATTGACTCTGAACTTTTTACAGTACAATAGCTTTATTTGAACGACAGACTTGGTTGTTCACAAAATACCTTGTTGCTCATACACTGTTTGTTGACATCCAGTCAGCTTCCATATCGGCAGACTATTAAAAAAGTTTTCACATGAATGGACAGACAATATATGTATCCTCATTGCTAGATAATACATTAAATATTACCTGGGACTATTTGGTATATTTTACAATCAATAATTACACTATAATTTATAGCCAGAGAGCACCATGTGTACTAGGGAAGTATGCATAGAAGCCTGATTGTGGAGAGTTGGTAAAGAGAAGAAAAAAAGAAAAGGTGAGTCGATGACCCAGCTGGAGCACCCGCATTTAATAATGAAAGTAATCCACAACATTTAGAAACAATATAAGCCTCAGTTTATAACAATCTTAGAAGCAGGTAGTTCAAACATCTACAAATAGTGGATTTAGTAGTTAATTAAATGGGCCGAATCTAACAGTTAAAGACTAGCTAGCCAATTTCACTTACGTATTTATGTTTCGTATATCCTTAATTAACTCAACATACAATGATTCAGTAATACAGTTGCCATTTCGATATTTATATTTTTGGTTCGACACAAACTTTGGCAGTGTGTCACAAAACTGACACATTTTGCCTTAGAACATGAATCCTCACTGTTGAACCCTTTCCCCACTCACTTTTATGGCAAAATAGCGGATATTCAGTTCCTAACCCTACCAGGAAGCAGTGGTCACATCGTATTGTACTCTAGGATTCGAGCACAATACATAGTACACACCTTTCTCGCTCCGTCTTAATATCTGGCTGGATAGCGTTAATGGAATCTCAGGTTATACTGTCTCAGCTTAAATAGGTCGACTGAAGAGGTAAGCTACATCCGAAGAATACCATCCCATGGCTAACTTCGTGTGAGCTATTACGTCGTCTTTCATAGATCGACAGGAAAATCCATAAGGTGCCAAAGGACTAGTTCTGAAGAGCGGGTTATGCATCACCTCGCCAAGGAGTCAATGATCCATTTAAAATGACAGTGGTTTTATCGCTGGAAGTTTATCAAATCGACACTTCCGAGTATTTTCTACGTGTGGAAACCACGTTAGTGAAAGCTCTCTTTGAACTGTCATAAGATGGGTGGTGAAAACGCTCCAATGTTTTTCCCTTGTGTTATCAAACAACACGAAGTGACCTCGTGTTGTCATTCCAAATCTCGGATTATCTAGGTGTTAATGTCTTATCTTTTAGCTCCCTCCAGGACACATTACCTCTGAAGTCACAAAAAAAGGTTCAAAACCCACAACCGAGTAAACCAAGAGTGGGATCCCATTGTTCCCGTCAGGTGGTAAACAAAAGGAACGTTCTATCCGAACAAGTGATATCATTCCTATCAGTAAACACCTTTAAAGTGAGTTTGGATTACCACTGAAAGACAAACTACAAAGTTTAGCACAGACCAACTACCAACCATCCTTACCACTGGAAACTAAAATACTCCACTCCAAAATTTCGTTTCAAGAGATATAGAAACTAATTAGCATCCAGGATCTGGGATTAAATTAAGGGAAGGCCATTTTAGATTCTGAATGCAACGAACCACAATTTTCATTGCAAGTTTGTGTCAAAGACCTTCGCCCGAAAGTGTAATCGCAAATAATTCTCTGGAATAAAATGTTTCTTGAACAAAAGATATTGTCATTGACGTTGCCCCTCATGAAGGATGTGGTTAGACAATGCCATCGAACCACCCCACGACCTAGCATGAAGCTACATTCTTGCTCCCAATAGCCAATTTAGATATCCTGTGGTGGTTTTGGTTCCCGATCATATGATCCTTGAAGCATAACATACGATGACTGGAAAGACTTAAATTGAACATTCAACACGTAGAGACGCTCAGAAATAGTGAACACGAGAGCACTTTATCTGTATGGTGTGGCTCGCTCATGCAAACGTGGTCAGTCTTTGTAACTTCCTCCTTTTTATATCAAATATATTAAGCTGTCCTCAGCCCGAACGTCCTCCAGAAGTGCGAAACATCATATCACTGTAGGAGTATTAGCATAGAAAATGGTGTGATTTCCACACAAGATCTTATAGGCTCTGTACTAACATCACGGCAAGCCTGCAATTTTGGGATTGGGTTTATTATTCTATTAGCATGGATAAGTGCACTTACACCGACCTATGCCACAGTTCTACAAGCTGTCCTTCACTGGCACCGTTACACGTCTTCGCGTGAATCTACGTAGGCAAGTAAACATATGTTGCAAACCATACGAAATTGGAGGAGCTCCCAAATTTTCAATGTATGTGCGCTCGAACTTAGTGTCGGGGTGACGGAGGCACCCACTACAGAGCTAATTTGACGACGGAAATTGAAGTGACATTAAGAACATCCCGATTCATGCTTGGCCGTGCCAAATACTCTCTCATAAACTTGATCGTGACTTTTATTCATGGTTACGATATATTCTACTTAATTTAGAAAACCATTCACCATAATTCTGTCGGCCCATAGATATCTCACACATTGCTTTTGCACAGGCTAACAGAACTTCTACGAATACCAAAGAAGTTGTGTTATCAGATTTTGGTCTCCTTAATTCAATATCCATCCAGTGCAGAATCGCCATACTGTGGTAGCCGACTTCAACTGACATTAATGCACTTTTAGTTACTCTATGTCAAGAATCTGCTACTTCGTTAACATTGCCCTGAATAAACTGGGAAATAAATTTTAACTGTCGAATTTTCTTCGGCGTATTACAACCCCACTTGGCGTTTAATGTTTTTACTAAAGGTTTATGACCTATATAGACAGCAAAGCTGTACCTTCTACCGTATATCGGAAGTGCTTTACTGTCAGGTAAATCTGTAGCACTTTTCTTTCGAACGTACTGTGCCTCATCACAGCTAGATTCGGTCACTTTTAGGAAAACGAACGTGGTTTCCATGTGGCGTTTCTGAACCGCTCCTACTTCCATGTTTGATGAAACAGACATGATGGCTTATTGCATTTTGCTTTTTCGTGAAACCGGCATCGTCTTTTCGTCTAGCTCTAATTAGTCATTTTGGAGTGATTACATAGTCCTTGTAGATATTTGGAATGTTCGGGCATGTCCTCGCAAGGATTCCATTAATGGTTGCAATGTTATCCCACAGTTTGAGATAAATCGTCTATAATAATTAAGTAGATCTGGAAATCGTCGCGATTTCTTCTGTGATTCTGGTAAAGGATAGCAGCAACTTTATAGAATTATGGTCTACTATGATAGTAGTACTGAGCTAATAATAGACTTAATCCTAAAATTGTAGAATTGTCATGATATAACTGCCTAATCCATAGGATCTTACGTAGAAGTCTTACCATCGTCTACACCAACTCATCGTATCTTAATAATCACCAATACATGATGTAGAATAAGCTTAAGCTAGAATAGAGTTACTGAACAGCAAGCATTGATGGTGAGGGTGATAACTTCAATCCACACGTGTTTGTGGGGGCAGAACATTTTGTATGTATCAGGCTCTTTATGATTGAGAATAAGTCAATCAATCTATGATATAGATTGTTTTTCTACGCTCACCACTCAGACTCACGTTTCCAATATTATGCTGGGTTAGCTATTCTACTAAGACAACCTATGACATACTAACTCGGACTTTTACACTAGGATTGTGTGGCTGGCATCGGGTAAACATAAAAAGGAAAAAAAGTTATATAACAAAAGATATAGTCATTAGTATTCTTAACACTTCGCCCTCTATATACACACTTTTCTAATAAACCGCTTTCCTTGTACCAGCCTTGACTTCCTTTCCTTCATGTGAGCTTACTACAACTCGTTAAACGACACAACTCATTGTTCTTTATTACTACATTCTCTAATATGGAGCCTCTGACTTCATTCCACTCTAACAAGAGATAATATGGATTTATTCTAATTTATTATTACCTCTGTCCGTTCTACTACACAATGTAAAGCAACGTTTGGAGCTCACATCCAAGTGCCTTGCTGCTCTGCTGTTTCTCTTTTTTCTTCTTCAGAAATTTGCTCTGAGGGCACAGCTATGAAACTTCTGACGTCTGGAACAAACTTGACGCACGCGTCCCCTCAAGGTCACAGTTTACAGCAAGCGCTCTACGGGTATACTTTATAACAACTAATTCCTTGTTCTCACTTTCGCCATCGTTAGGTATTTCTCCGCGTTAAATATTGAATATCTATTTTCCGAGTAGTCTCGTGTTCAGCTTTAGAGGATTGTGTGGTTATGGTCCAATGCCACTACACTACTCTCCCATCAGAATCAACTTAATGTTGGTTTGATACTGAATTGGATGAGATTGTCGCGCGCCGGGGGTTACCAAGTAAGAATCCTCCGGGTATTGATAAGATGAAAGACAAACCAAAAAGGCGGCAGCATCTGGTCGGGAAATACATACAACAATTTCAAAATGTCTGGTTTGATGCTTAACACACCTAAAATAGAAACTTTGGCTAAAAAATGAGATAATAAGAATAAAATGATCCCGTGTAGAGATATTTTAATCAGTCACCGTAAGATGCGTGTTAATAGATTAACTTATAGGTAGTTCATATCTTGTGTTGAGATATATTAAAAACAATCAACATTGTAGAAATGTTAATATTGGCACTAATTTTGGATTAAATTATGAAATAAAATAACGATTATGCCGTTAAGTTGTCCATATGAATTGACTTTCATTTGCATCTATACTAGTAGGCTAACAG